TCTACGATCATGGCCATCAAGATCGAGCTCAACAGCGTCGGCCCGTTCACGAACCTAATGCTGGGGGCCACGATGATCGCCGAGTTCGTCGTGCTCATCTCCTTCTCCATTGCCCGCATCGTGTGCTCCACGTACTGCGCCAAGCTCAACGTGTCGTTCCTCAACCTCATGTACACCATGGGCATCGTCGCGTCCAACGTCCTGGTCGGCGTGCTCCTGGGCGGCCTCACGATCCTCATCTTCCAGATCCCGGGCGGCGAAGAGCACCATGACGACCACGGCGGCGACCACGACGACGATGTGACGTACTTGAACCAGCACACCGGCGACAAAGGCGCGCCGTTGAACCCCAGCATGGACCCGAGCGCTAGAGACGACCGTAGCGAGCACCACAAAGACGCCTTCTTGTCCCCGCAAGCCGCACTGGGCCTCAAGGGCTTCATTTGGATCTCCATGGGCTACCTCTTCTACATCTCGACGGCCGTCCTGGCCGAAGCCACGGCGGCGGCCTTTGGGCTGTCGTGGGAAATCAAGTTCGAAGCGCTGCTCGTGCTCATGGTCGCCTCGTGTGTCGCGGGCCATTACAAACCCATTCGCCACGACATGCACACGATCCTCGACACGACGGCGCCGTACATGTTCTTGCCGTTCTTTGTCATGACGGGCGCCGCACTGAAGATCGACCAGGCGCTGGCCGCCGTGCCGCTCATGACCGTGTACGTCGTGCTGCGGTACGTCGCGATCTTCCTCGCCTGCTTCTTCGGCGGCCGCCACATCCTCAAGCTCACGCCCATACAGTACAACAACCTGTGGCTCACCATGACGCCTCAGGCCGGTGTTGCGTTGGGGCTGGCTAGCGAAGTACAAGCCATGAGCGATGAGCCCTGGGCCGACGAGTTCGCCGCGACGATCGTGGCGGCGGTCGTCTTGAACCAGATCATTGGGCCTGTGCTGTGTGCTAAGGGCCTGAGTCGCGCAGGTGAGACGCTGAAGGACCGCATGCTGCAGTCCGATGCTGCACCGAAAGACGAGATGGAGTCCATGGACAAGAGTTTCCAGGCCGGCCGCTTCAGCAAAGTGAACGTTGGCGGCGGCGGCCTTGGCCACAGCATGTGCGGCGGCGGGGGCGGCTTTGCCAACAGTATGGCCGACGGGTCCGCGCGCGGGAGTTTGTTTGACATGGGTCGGATCTCCATGTCGGGCACGAAGCGATGCAACGGCGACCCGCGGTCGCTGTTGCCGTTCACAAAGGTCCAGAACGCAGTGGTCATTGGCGACGACGAAGTGGCGTTCGAAGTGGCGCTCGAGCTCTCGCTCTACGGCGCGCGGGTCAACGTGCCGCTCTTGGACCAGGAACGCACGAGCAAGTGGCAGCAGATGAACGAAGCGATTCTGCATCGCGCGGCCAAAGGTGACCTCATCTCGTACAAGAACACGCTCAAGGACCGAGACAGTGCACAGGCCATGTCCGCGGCCGACGTGCTCATTTTTACCGGCGACTCGAACCGCACGCGTGAGAACGTGCAGATGCTCAAGTCGCTGCTTGGGGAGTCGCACCCGCGTATGATTGCGTTCGTGCCGGACTGCAAGTTCAGCAAAGAGATGAAGGCGCTTGGGGTGTTGGTGATCCAGCCGTCGATCGCATTGGCGAACATTGCCACGCGCATGGCGCTCCTCGACGCCAAGTTGGCCGAAGCGCTCTCGAATGAGATCAGTACGACCAGCGACTTTAGTACGGCGTCGTACTTCTTGGGGGGCGCCGGGGGCGATTTGACCGACTTGCGTCTGGACGGCCGTCGCATGGCTTTGGGCCGCAATGTGGTAAGTCACCACTCGGTGGACTATGACCGACTGGCCGAAGCGCTCACGAGCGAGAACCTGCCGCTACCGCCGCCGCCGTCGCGCGTGTCGATGTTTGGTACGTCTTCGGCCGCCGGGTTCGACCCGTTCCGACGCGACAAGAACCGGTCCAACTTCTTCGTCATGCACGACGAACACGACGATACGAACGAGATCATCGTGGACGCTCAGAATGGACCGTACTTGACACATGGCCAAGGCGCGCGGCTCAGTGTGCATCGACCATCAATGCAATTGGGCGGCAGTCGCGTGCGAGGAGGTCAGGTCGCTCGGGGCAGGCGCACGCCGGGCTCGGCAAAGACGGAGTACTAAGAAGCTCAGCGGAACGAACGCTGACTGACTACAGACAGCATCATGAAACAGTGGCTGGCGAATGCGGTTTGGACTTGTTACCGCAAGTACGACGTGGAGGGAACGTCCGAGCTCTGTGGAGCTGCAGAGAGCCTCTTCTTGATCGAAGGGTACGAGAGCACTGGAGTCCGTACCAAGTGACAAGTTGCAAGCACGGAGCGTAGCGTAGCGCGCTATGCCGTAAGCTTTGGCGTATCTTAATGTGCACACGATTGTTTGATAGAATACATCTTGTCTTGTCTTCACCGCGATCTCTCTCTCTCTCGTTCTCTTTCACTGTCGCTACGTCACGCTTGCAAGACTCAGCGCGTCAAACATGCAATTACTTGGCTCACCTCGCGCAAGGATAGCTGCCACTTATCGGCATGGCAAACTTAGGTCTTTCGAGGAGATCTGGATGTTCCGCACACCGGAGTGTCGTTACGCACCGAATGGACGGAACTGCTGTATTAATCGTAACGTACCGTCGGATATACCCTTCAGCTGCTACAACGGCCGTGGTTTGGCTCCCCGTCTACCGGATTCAGCTAACAGATTGCAATGGTGCACGGATGAACTCGAGAGCCTGGTATCAACTGCAATCAATTGGACCACTCTGAACGAAAGGGTAGTGAAGCTTTTACGACCACTGCCTCGCTGCTCCCAAGCGATGACGCCGGATGAGCGAAGCTTTTGGCTTACGTCGCGTGGACCGATGCCTTTGGACTTTGGACCGCCGAGGACATGTGCCGTTGTGGAGCTGGAAGTGCAGAGAGTCGGATTCCACACCGACTCGTTCGTCATCCCTACAGTTGGACAACATACGCACCAACAGGCCAAGCTGCGTCGCTCGGGGGGGCGATACTGCTAAGTGCACCGGACATGAACATTGGCGGCAGGTTCCACGTTCAGCGGACCCTGCGCCAGCGGCACCCACCATGTTTGGCTCGGGTCTATGCTTGGATACTTCTTCCGCCGGGCGCGTAAGGGAAGTCGGCGAGTGTGCGTCTGCTAAGTAGTGAGGAACCATCTTGCTCGAGCAGGAGAAAGATGGTATCCATTGAAACATTGCAGCGGACAGCAGTTGACTGTCTGACTCTTCGCCGGGGCCAAGCTGCACGCGGCATTGTCGCTTACGCGCATCCGCTAGTCCACGGGCTTTCGTGGAGCATCCCGAATTCCATCGTACGCAACTATGTCCTGTTGGCGTTTGAAGCCGTCCGTTTCAATGGTTGAGAGGCACCGGCAGAGCGCTGCATCAGACATTGTTCAGGATCGGGAACGCAGCGCTTAATATCAATTGACAAGCTGCTGCATTCACACAAACTCCTACTTCTCTTTGGGCGAGCGGTACCGAGCTTACGGGATACCAAGTCTGAGGGAGTCTGCTATCGGGTGGCGCGAGGCAACTATATATTCATTTGCCGGGTAGAGGTCTTGTGACCCCTCATGTCAAGAGCTTCGTTGCTGCCGTGGAGTGGTCGAGACGCTGGAATACATCTTCTGGACATGCTCGTGTGTGCAGTTCATCTGCCAGGTACTTGTATGCCATTAGCGAGAAAACGACGGGAGCTGGGACTGCAAGGCTTTCGCACCTATGTGCCAGCAGAATAGCTTCGACGCTATCTAAGGCGGTCACAAACAGTCTAGTGTGAGGTCATCCTGACGAGAGTGAGACTATGCGATGGTGTGGAGACGGCTTTGGCGACCGCTTAGCAACATCTGAGCAACGACATTGTGGATTCAGCGTAATCGAGTCATTTGCCAACAAGAAGAAGTAACTTTCGCAGGAAGCGTAAAACGCGTTCCCAAGAGGCATGCGGCACCTTCGAGCGGTAGCAAAGCGGGTGTTCTGCAGAGATGAGACCAAAATTTAACGAGCACGCCTGGCAATTATGTCTGCGACAAGCTGCCAGGCAGCCAAGAGAGCCGTCGCCTACGGTGACGAGCCCGTACAATTACCAACGAGGTACCGGCGTTGCGAACGAGGCTGAAGCTATCTTACACATACTGCAACCGGCAAAAAGGTCAATGGACACGTCTGTTTGTCTCTCTCTCTCTCTCTCTTTCGCTGCGTCTCTCGTAACGAGAGCAACACAACCGCACACGCGCACACTCTACGCGGGCACCACGAGCGTGTGTCTAGTTGTAGTCCCATCGGCACGTTTAATCTCCTCTCGACGCGCTCTTTCGCGCCAGAAACAAAGCACATCTCGATAAGCGATCGTAGAGCATCCATCCAATCCCCGACTGCCGTGTGCTTCCTCGCGAGGCGCAAAGTCGCGTCCTAGTGACCGTTGCAAACACGCAAGTCCATCGCTGTGGCAAACGTGCACACACGCATACATTCACCCACATGCCCGTGTCTAATCGTTCGGTCGTTCGCCTATCGATCGATCCATCGATCTGCCTCTCTGTCTGTCTGTCTGTCTGTCTGTCTGTCTGTCTGTCTGTTGTTGTTGTTTCTACCTCTGCGACATCAACCGAAACGTTAATTGACGAGGAAAACAGCTCTTCGAAGGCAGTACGCCACGGGCATAGACGAGCCCATTGTCCGGCTCCGCGCGCAGCTAACGGGCGCTCGAAAGCGCCCATGGCACTCTGTCCGACACAGCGGCGGTGCGACACTTCTAGGACAGCCCCACTTCAGGCGTCACAACGAACTGCCACTCAGTGTTTCAAGTCACTTTGGCATTTGCCCCCAACAACTCACGTCTCACGAATCGTCAGTTTCGCTCTGTGTCGATCGTATAACAAAACTCGCGTCTCTTCGGTCGCCGTCATAGACCACCAGAGCCTCAAAGGGACTTATGCCGACCAACGACGTGCGGGTTACCCGCAGGTTGACCTCTTCAGGTCCGCCTCGACCACTTGCACTCGTGTATGTGCTCCTAACGGCTTTTGCTGCGTCGTGCACTGTCGCATCGGGCCACACGCCTTCTTCGCAGGACTTTGGCCGTCGCTTAAGTGGGGCCTCGGGCAACGAAGACCAAACGGTGCCGTTCTACTCGTGGGGCAACACAGTCGAGACGCTGCGCTATGGCCTCGCGTTCATCATTGTGCTCGTAGCGGCCCATCCGCTCGGCCTGTTGTTCCCCAAGTACTTTAAGCTGCCGCTCATTACCGGTTACCTCGTGATTGGGATCATTGCCGGTCCCTTTGTGGCCAATTTGCTCACGGAAGGGCTCGTGGAAATGCTGTCCAACTACGTGAGCGCACTCGCGCTGTCGTTCATTTCGTTCCAAGCCGGCCAAGAGATCTACTGGCCCGAGCTCCGGCCGCAGCTCAAGTCGATTTTGATTTTACTCGGCGCGCTGTACCTGACGGCAATGGTCATCCTCACGTCGGCCGTCCTGGCCACGGAAAGCGCCTTCTTCTACAAGGACCTCATCTTCAACTGCCAATTGGGCATTGCGCTCATGTTCGGCTCCATCTCCGTGCTCGGGTCGCCGGCCACGGTCATGGCCATCAAGATCGAGCTCGACAGTGTCGGGCCGTTCACGAACCTCATGCTGGGGGCCACGATGATCGCCGAGTTTGTCGTGCTCGTGTCGTTCTCCGTCTCCCGCATCGTGTGCTCCATCTACTGCGCCGAGCTCGACGTCTCCATGCTGAATCTCATCTACACACTGGGCATTGTCCTGTCCAACGTGCTGGTTGGCATCGTGTTGGCGGGCCTGACGTTCGCGATCTTTCAGATCCCGGGAGGCGAGTCGCACCACCATCACCAGCAGTCGGCAAACGACTACAACGGGGTCGACCAAAGCCCGAGCGCTTCAATGTACGGCGATCCGAAGACCGATCCCAAAGCTTCGTACGTCGAGGTGGACAGCACACCGCAGGCGAATGCCCGCAACAACACCGGGCACGCCGGCAACGGGGGAGCTGCTGCTCAGTCGTCTTCGTTCCTGACGCCTCAGACAGCGCTGTACCTGAAAGGGTTCATCTGGCTGTCCATGGGCTACATCTTTTACATCTCGTCGTCGTTGCTCGCGCACCTCACGGCCGCGCAGTTTGGTCTGTCGTGGGAGATCAAGTTCGAGCCCCTCCTCGTGCTCATGGTCGCTGCGTGCATTGCTGGCCACCACACGGCCATTCGACACGACATGCACGTGATCCTCGACACGGCCGCACCGTACATGTTCCTGCCGTTCTTCGTGATGACGGGCGCCGCGCTCAAGCTCGACCAAGTGGTCCATGCTATCCCGCTCATGACTGTCTACGTGCTGCTGCGGTACGTCGCGATCTTCATTGCGTGTTACTTCGGCGGCCGCTTCCTGTTGAAGTTACCCCCAAGGCAGTACAACAACCTGTGGTTGACCATGACGCCCCAGGCCGGTGTCGCCTTGGGGCTGGCGAACGAAGTGAAGGTGCTGAGCGATGAGACGTGGGCAGCCGACTTTGCGGCCACGATCGTAGCGGCAGTTGTGGTGAACCAGATCATTGGGCCCGTGTTGTGTGCCATGGGACTGGGCCGGGCAGGGGAGACGCTGCAGGACCGCTTGCCTGATGACAACGAACGCAAGACGGACTTTGATGGCAAAGAGTTTGACGCTGGCAAGGACTTTGACGGCAAGGAGTACGACTTTGACGATAACATTGGCAAGCGGCGACCAAGTCGTCTATCCGTCAGGTACAGCTTTAACCAGCGAGCAAGCAGACTCTCGATCTTTGACCATGGAGATCAAAAGGCGCCACCACAGTTCTGCAAGGTGCACAATGCAGTGGTCATTGGCGACGACGAAGTCGCGTTCGAAGTGGCACTCGAGCTCTCGCTCTACGGCGCGCGGGTCAACGTGCCGCTCTTGGACCAGGAACGCACGGGCCAGTGGCAAAAGATGAACGAAGCGATTCTGCATCGCGCGGCCAAAGGCGACCTCGTCTCGTACAAGAACACGCTCAAGGACCGGGACAATGCACAAGCCATGTCCGCGGCCGACGTGCTCATTTTCACCGGCGACTCGAACCGCACGCGCGAGAACGTGCGGATGCTCAAGTCGCTGCTCGGGGAGTCGCACCCGCGCATGATTGCGTTCGTGCCGGACTGCAAGTTCAGCAAAGAGATGAAGGCGCTTGGGGTGTTGGTGATCCAGCCGTCGATTGCATTGGCGAACATTGCCACGCGCATGGCGCTCCTCGACGCCAAGTTGGCCGAAGCGCTCTCGAATGAGATCAGTACGACCAGCGACTTTAGCACGGCGTCGTACTTCATGGGTGGTGCCGGCGGCGATTTGACCGACTTGCGCCTGGAAGGCCGTCGCTTGGCGCTGGGCCGGAGCGTCGTGAATCACCACTCGGTGGACTATGATCGTCTACTGGAGACGTTGGCTTCGGCACACCTGCCGCCACCCCCACCGCCCTCGCGGGTATCGATGTTTGGTACCTCTGCTGCCAGTGTGGACCCATTCAGTACGCGCGACAACCGATCCAACTTCTTCGTGATGCACGACGGGCCCGAAGAAGCAGTTTCGCACATTGTACGTCGTTCGCGCCACAGGATTAGCATTCCTACCATTGCAGGCTAAGCGTTGTGAAGTTCGTTGGTGCGCGTGGTGACTGAAGCATATGAGCCTCGTGGTGCACTATGTCTGTTTAAGTTGTCGACACCGCTCGTTTTCAATATATATCATGACCATTTTGCAAGTCACGATCATAGAGAAGCGCTACTTACAGCAGCTATGTGCGTTTGACAAGTTGGCGGCAAAGCACAAAGACATGACATGACCGTTCATGCACGCGCTGCTTTAGATTGAAGCTATAACTACTGTACGTACGTACGTGCGTACGTGGTGGTGGTGGTGTCAAGTACGTCCATTATTATGATAACTAACGACTGATAAGTGTGACAAGAAGTACGGCCCGGGTATCGGGTCGACAACTAAAGGGCTCCGTAGAGCCAGGGGCGACGGCAACGAGGTCAGAGACCCTCCTACCGAAGCCAACTACGAGTCAATCATGACCGCTGGCGCGACCAAGTAGACTGGGGACATGCGTACCGCCGGAGCGGCAGCACGTACAACGCGGGTATGCTGCCATATAAGGCAACAAACCCCTTTAGGACCGCTTGCGCGGCCCCCGACGTGGAGTGCGAACACCGAAGTGACTGCGTGGCGTGGAGAACGCCAACCCGCCATATATCTCTCCGAGGAGCTCAACCATCTGCGATGGTGGCTCCCTTCAGCCGCTTGCGCGGCCCCCGACGTGGAGTGCGATCACCGAAGTGACTGCGTGGCGTGGAGAACGCCAACCCGCCGTATATCTCTCCGAGGAACTCAACCATCTGCGATGGTGGCCCCTTCAGCCGCTCGCGCGGCCCCTTGACGTGGAGTGTGCGCTCGCCGCAGCGGCGACACGTGGCGCGGGGTACGCCTCCAGTCCGTAAAACACCCCTGCTAGGGCCGCTTGCGCGACCCGTCGGTCTCCTACGCCCACTCCCGCGACTGCGAGTGCAGCGTGCCCGTGTCAGATCTTCGACCACGTCGGCTCCCCAAGGGGAGGATTCCCTCCGACTTGACTGCCCCGAAGGGAAAAAGACTGGCTTGAGCTGAACCGTGAAAATTTGGGAATGCCGAGAGTCGAGATCCACAGTCTCGCTCCCGCAAGCATCGCCAAGGGGACAGCCGTGTTCCATAAAGCGACTTCCTTCAGCGATCTTACCCGCCCGTCGTGTGTTTGTTCTGGCGCACAAAGCCCTGGGGTGGCTCGCTCCTTGACGATAGGGAGGGTCCGAGGGAGGGATGGAAAGGCTGTGTGTGTGGCTGGATGGACGCTGGCAGCGCACGAAGTGGCACGCACGGCCTTTTTGCAGCAGCTACGAGTCAGCACGACACCAAATCGACACGAAGGAGGAAGTGCGCCAGAGAACGCACTCGTGGCTTGCGACCGTAAACAAATCGCTCGTGGCACGACGTGCGATGGAGACGCGCAGAGCCAGGCTGGAATGTGATGGGACTCTACATTGCGTGCGTTGTGGACACGTTCTTCGACCCTCTCAGTACGAGGATTGTGCTTCCTAGATCTCGACTTGTTCCTACGACCGCCTCATGTGTGCGCAGACACGAGGACAGCTGGCTAGTGACCGAGCAAAAGTACACGGGCGAGTGCGTGTGGTCTGCATCCTCTTTCCGGGCCGGATGGATTCTGGCGATGGTGGAAAGCGAGAGACGCTGGACATACGTGCTCACGGCATTCCCAAATACTGAGATTCTGGACAGGGTCCATGCTGCGCTGAGCAAGCAGACACTGGCTGTTGTTGTGGTACGACGTAGGATCGTCATTTCGAGTGCGTGTCAGTAGTGCGAGAGGTCAGCTCAAAGGAATGCAAGGCAGAACTCACTTTCATGCTTCTGCAAAATCCGACCCCATGCTTTCGTAAGCGTTCGTTTACGTATCCAAAGAGTAACTATATAATAGCCCAGAAGCTTCTGCTGGTGCACAGAAAGAAACAATCTGTTGCCAGTTCAAGTAGGCACTTCGTTGATCGGTATCAAAGCTGCTGACGTACTGAGAATCCTACTCGATAGCTCTTGTCATGGCGATTGACGTGAAGCTATTGCTCACGTGGCTGACTTCACCGCCTACGTGCCTGCCAACTCCTCATTTTTATCATGAACCTCTTCTGGTCAAAGCTCTTGACGCTCTTCACATATACAGCGACATCGGTATACAAGTCAGTCCCCTTTGTAAGCGAAAAAGATCGTGGTATAATTCCACTCGATCGAAAAAGTCTCATCTCGATCGGCATGATCCCATTTACACACCAGTCGTCGTGACATTCGTCACTAAAAAGCCAAGAATCACAGGTAGGGCCAATGTATCAAATCGAGAAAGAATGAAAGGCATTAGCTCACAAGTCAGGTCAATGGATGGCAGACTCCGAATTGCGTGAGGACCAGTACATTTTCCATTCCAATCTTCATGCGCCAGGAAGTAGATGATGTACTAAAGTGAAGGCCACCTTGTATAATAGACTCTGCGATATATACAAGGCCGCAGAATAAGCTTCGCAGATACTTGACTCTAACGTTTTTATTGAAAGGGTCAGGCGTGAGCAGAGAGATCGACCGATGCTCATTGATCTTGGCAGTCGTGCAAGCAGCATCGATAGTCAAGCCCGCGGATAGCAGGGGTCCCTTTATCCTCAGGGTGAGGAGTACTGGAGCTGTGTACAAGCGGAGCGTTCGTGCACTCTTTAAAGCTAACTAGTTGTTTACGGTAATGAGCAGCACAGAGAATGCTGCAGTTGCTGAACGAGGAAGAACCACTTGCGATTAGACTGGATCTCAAAAAAGGAATGCTACAATGCTACATCCCAAGTCTGCTCGCTACGTTGGCGTCGTTATGCGCACCGTTAATGCGTCTCTTGACTACGATACAGCCGCACTGCTGCGCTGACCAGATAGAGCCATCGTACACGTCGCGTTCGTCTAATTTCACCGTTGTTGCCCAAGCGGTTTTCGATCGCGCCATTTTGCTCGCCGCCATCGCATGGAGTCCTCTTTTGTAGTCGATCGTAGTCAGTAGCTTATATGGTTCTCGCGTCGGGTTAGCAGCTAGCAAGCGCAAGACTGGTTCAAAGGCTGACTAAGCTCTGGATCACTTTCATGTGTCGAAACACTATCGCCTGCAAAAGCTATGCGTGGACGGGTCATCAGTCGCTCGTAATGACGTGGCAGCTTGTTCTGGTACAACTTGCATCGCCGCTATATCGAGTTATGTGCACTTGATGTCCACTCAGTCTACCGCTCGCTCTCTTTACGCTTGGAACAGACGGAATTATACGATCCGTTGCAGGGAAGCTGGTCGATACAGCTTACCATCAAGACACTGGGCCTTATGCATGAGCACACACAAGGCGTCCAAAACGTGGACGCGTCTTGCACAAATAAGTGACTTCTGCCACGAGAGTAAAGAGAATGATCGTGGCATTGCCAGCAATGAATACGGGCTGATATCATTTGTGGTGGAATATTGCCAAGCGCATACTTCTAGTCAGACGTAACAACCTTTTGTGTGTGATGTATTCGAATCGGTAGTGAGCATTATGGTATAGCTCACTTGCTGGGCTCAGAAGCAAGTTAGGCACAAACGTTGTTAGATTGCATTCACAAATAAAGAGGATCGTACGCTTACAACAAAACACTGCTCGGCTGTACATAGTCAAAAGGACTCATCCGTTTGGTATACTTTGTTATCAAATGTTCCTTGGTGTTGACCTTGGTCAAGACTTTGGCATGCGCTCAATGAGTAGTGTCTGAATGCCAAATGGCAGAGAGTTGCTGGTTTATAGTATGCCAACATGACAATTGGACTACAATGCATCATGCTTTGTGGATATATAATTACGCAAAACGCTCAGATAAAGGCAAAACGTTTCGCGAATATTTTTTGTGCGGACATCTGAAAGCTGAGATACAGTAAGCGATCGCGCTGGTATCAAGAGACAGTGTGTGTTCCAAAATACGTCGACAGTCGGGGCTGGATGCATGTGAGCCTGCGTTCTCAGGATGGTTCATTGTAGACAGAGGTATGAAGTGTGTAAACGGACGACCGTGCAGGTCGACATAAGAACCTATCTGACTCAACTGTATGCATGTAAGGCCCGCATTCGACATTAATCGCTGGGCGTTCTTCACAAAACGTGTTGTCCGCTCTTGTCCCTCTTGACTCTTATGTAGTGCGCGACGGCGTTTCGATAATCTCTGCCAGCTAGAAACAATGCTTATCTGACGACGTATGGATCTACGCGTAGTCAAGGCTGCTCACACAAGGATGACTCTGAACTAGCCATATGGGCAAATGCTCGGACTGTTTTGAGGCCGACACGTATATGGAAGGTCAAGTGATGAGAGCCGAATCCTCACGCACTTACAGATTGTATGAAGGCAGCGCGATGAGGTATGTACGAATACGGACACATAAACAAAAGGAAATGCACCTGCAGCACTTTGTTAGACTTACGGCATCACCTTGGCTATGCTACACGCAATTCCAGTACCGCTTTTTTTCCTTACCTCTCCTTGCGTGTCTCTCTTTGTCGGGCGGAATGTCTGTACTGTAGGCTCGTACAAATTGACAACAAACTTAGCTACCAACCATCGTCTATACCCAATGCAAGATTCTATATCGAGTCCATACGAGGGCTGCATGACACGGCAGGTTCATTCCCCTACATGTATCAACAATCGACCCGGTTATACGCGAAAACAATGTTATGTCTAGCCTACTTTGCTACCGATTGAGCTACCTCAGGCCGTTTTGTACCGCATATTAATCCCTCTACCGGCAAGACGTGCGCATCTAAAGCAGTACGAGCAATAGACCGTGCAAGCGAATCTCTCTCGTTGCATTCGTCGTGCATGTCCCTTGAAGTACCTCATGCTTGATGGTTTTGCCGAATCCAACCCATCAATCGGCACCTTTTTTTTGGCTGCGTCTGCGAAATCTATCGACCGACGACGACGATTTAGTGCAACTCAAGCCGAAGGCTGAATGCGACATCATATCGTTATGGTGAGAAGCTCAACATCGTGCTCCCTCGCTTGGTCGAGCCATTCCACTGGCAACAGTGAGGAGATCCGCATACACAGAGTGGTGGAAGCATCACTTGGTCTAGCGTTTCTTTTGCGCTGAGCGTTCGAAGAAGACCGGACGCAGCTTATTTCATTATTTGCGACAACGGATGTCTCAACAACCCGAAGGCACGTCAAATCTGTCGCAACGTATTTCATCGACAAATCGCATGTTTCGGATTTGTTGAAGCTGAAGCCACCGGAGGTATCGATTAAAACTTGAAATAACTGCCGACTTCGTATGCGACCTCCAGGCGATCGATCTGTCGGTAGGTATGTTGCCGACTGTCTCCTCTACATGTCACGTTTGACACGACACGGTCTCTCCTGATTTCAGTTTCGCAACGTGAAACGCCGCTACTACAACACAGACCGACTCTGCTCAAGCCATGCGACCAAAAAAAACGACACCTTAGCATACGCCATCGTTGTTTGGTCTATTTTGGTTGGATAGGACCAACATTCCTCGACTCAATCTCCCGACCCGTATCGAAGGTGATATGGACATGTCGCACGTAGAGGTCCACGTATGAGCAAAATTAGCGGTAGAGCTTCGTATAAATTACTTACCATCGCAGTGCTGCCATCTGCAGTCGCATGACCATCGGATGGAGCAGCGACGCAGCTCCACGGCACGCACATACTAGCGGAAGGGAAGGCGCGGCCATGCATTTGAGTGTGCACGCGAAAAGGACTGTGCAAGAACCCGACGTTGCCGGGAGTGCATTGCTGCAATGGGACCAGATCGACAGTCTTAGCAGCTGCAATGCGGGAGTGTTCGTAGAACGCTGAGCGACATGCGACAGCGCTGGTCTGGCTGCCTGCCCCGTCATTTGCACGTCGGGACTTTTCCAGGGCTTCCGAGCGTCCATATTGACAATCGCCAACGCCACATCGTCGTGGAATGCGAGAGATGCGCCAGCCCACGCACAGACAGGAGGCGCCTGCACTTGAATGCCAATCAAGAGGACGAGGACAATACCACTTGTGGACGAAACGGTATCATGACCTGCCGGGAACTTGAGCTTTCGAGCAAGTTGGTCGTACAACGTGGGGGAGCCGACTGTAGTACTTGTACAGTACACACGGCCCTGCGCCCACTCGCGATGCAGAACGTCGGACGCAACTGAAGTGTCGAAGCCCGAAAGCGCGAATGCGTACGCCCACTTGATCGTCATACATAGACCATCGGAAGGGAACGGGGTCAACTAGATAGCCCACTGTTACCCTCTCCATCTTTCGGTGCGCTTTTTCGCGTCCGACTGTCACCTCGGCGGGCTGACGTAAACGCGACGGAAGCGCAGCGGTCGCATGCAGACACCACGTGGCCGGAGCTCTACCCGAGCGGTACTTGCTGAAGCTTTACGTGCAGTGCAAAGCCATTCATCTCGTGGACGCGCGACGTCGCTGGGCGAGCGGCACCGTCGCCAACGATGGGCGATCGACTTTCCGGGCAGCACCAAATCCGATCAGACATTCTCTTGAACGGCGGAGAGGTGCGCCTTGACGTCTCTGACTCCATTCGATGCATAAACCCGTGGGACGCCTCGAGATTGTTGAGTCACACGGTTAGCAGGAACGATGGCATCCCTCTTGCCACATCGAAACCAGATCCTTGCGCACCAAGACCAGATGCTCGTCGGGGGGGGGGGGGGGAGTAGCCCCGTTTAGTGACGGCCCACACATAGCTCGGACATGCGAAGCGAGTGACCTGCAAAGGCCAAACGAGACGCACGAAACCCACCGGACGGTTCCGACGAAACCCTCACACTCACACACACACACACACTTAGACGTTCACAGAGAGTGAGTGAGTGAGTGAGTGAGAGCGCTTTCGGTCTTCATTTCCGCTTTTGCCAGTAGGGCCCACAACGCCACTCGAAATCCACTCGAGCATTGAGATATCTCACCCGCGCGCAAGTCAGGCGTTCCCCTCCCCCTCCTCCCTCTTCCTCTTCCGTTCTCCCATACACCCCCTGCAGCATGACCGTCGCCCGGCCCAATAGGTCGTGCACAGCAGTAGCGTCTCTGCTCGTCGTTACGCTCCTTCACGTCGTAGCGGCCGAGCAGGTATTACGCAGCGGGGACGCCACCTCCGAAGAGGTCCACTCGGTACGTGGCGGCCGTCGACTCAGCGGAGCGGCCGCTGGGGACCACAACCGAACCGTACCGTTCTACTCGTGGGACAACACGGTGGACACGCTGCAATATGGACTCGCGTTCGTCGTCGTGCTCGTGGCCGCCCATCCGCTCGGCCTCTTCTTCCCGAAACTCTTCAAGCTCCCGCTCATTACCGGCTACCTCGTGATCGGGATCATTGCCGGTCCGTTTGCGGCCAACCTCATCACGGCCGAACTCGTTACACTGCTCTCGAGCTACGTGAGTGCACTCGCGCTGTCGTTCATTTCGTTCCAAGCCGGCCAAGAGATCTACTGGCCCGACCTGCGGCCACAGCTCAAGTCCATTATGATCCTCCTTGGCGCGCTGTACGTGACGGCAATGGTCATCCTCACGTCCGTCATCCTCGTGGCCGAGAGCGCCTTCTTCTACAAGGACCTCGTGCTCAACTGCCAATTGGGCATTGCGCTCATGTTTGGCTCCATCTCCGTGCTCGGGTCGCCGGCCACGGTCATGGCCATCAAGATCGAGCTCAACAGCGTCGGCCCGTTCACGAGCCTCATGCTGGGGGCCACGATGATCGCCGAGTTTGTCGTGCTCGTGTCGTTCTCCGTCTCCCGCATCGTGTGCTCCATCTACTGCGCCGAGCTCGACGTCTCCATGCTGAATCTCGCCTACACGATGGGCATTGTCATGGCAAACGTCCTCGTTGGGGCCGTGCTGGGCGGCCTCACGATCCTCATCTTCAAGATCCCGGCAGGTGAGCCGCACCACGAGATGAGCATTGACGACCGAAACGTGTCGCACGAACTCGCACCCGGAGGCGGACTGATGTCCACCCACGACCGGGCAACGGGCCAAAAGATGACGTCAACGGCGCGCGAGCACGCGCCGCTGTCGTTCATTGAGCCCCGAGCAGTCACACCCCCTGCTCCGTTCTGGTCGCCCAACGTCGCGCTGGCCGTGAAAGGCTTCATCTGGCTCACCATGGGGTACCTCTTTTACATCTCGTCGTCGCTGCTCGCGCACCTCACGGCCGCGCAGTTTGGCCTGTCGTGGGAAGTCAAGTTCGAAGCGCTGCTCGTGCTCATGATCGCCTCGTGCGTCGCGGGCCATTACAAACCCGTTCGCCACGACATGCACGTGATCCTCGACACGGCTGCGCCGTACATGTTCCTGCCGTTCTTTGTCATGACGGGCGCTGCGCTGAAGCTCGACCAGGTGCTGGCCGCCGTGCCGCTCATGAGTTTGTACGTCGTGCTGCGGTACGTCGCGATCTTCATTGCGTGCTACTTGGGCGGCCGCTTCCTGCTCAAGCTCACGCCCATGCAGTACAACAACCTGTGGCTCACTATGACGCCCCAGGCCGGTGTCGCTCTTGGGCTGGCCAGCGAAGTCCAAGCCATGAGCGATGAGCCCTGGGCTGCCGAGTTTGCCGCGACGATCATTGCAGCTGTGGTCGTGAACCAGATCATTGGGCCTGTGCTGTGTGCCATGGGCTTGAGTCGAGCGGGTGAGACGCTGCGAGATCGCTCGGCGGAGCAGCCTGTGCCTGAAGACGACTGGGAAGGTGGTGCTGGCGGTGGTCCTGGCGGCAAGGCCAACCCTGACGGCAGGTTCAGCAGTTTCTATGCCCGCGGCCTAAGCAGCGTCCACGCTGGACGGTTCAGCAACACGAGCATCTTTGAGCTCAATCGCCAGGTGTCCGGCACCGGGGGCACGACGACGGGCACCCGGGAACCTCAACCATTGCTGCCGTTCTACAAGGTGCAGAGCGCCGTTGTCATTGGCGACGACGAAGTGGCGTTCGAAGTGGCGCTCGAGCTCTCGCTCTACGGCGCGCGGGTCAACGTGCCGCTCTTGGACCAAGAACGCACGAGCAAGTGGCAGCAGATGAACGAAGCGATTCTGCACCGTGCGGCCAAGGGCGACCTCATCTCGTACAAGAACACGCTCAAGGACCGGGACAATGCACAGGCCATGTCTGCGGCCGACGTGATCATTTTCACGGGTGACACGAACCGCACACGGGACAACGTGCAGTTGTTAAAGTCATTGCTCGGGGACGCCCACCCGCGTATGATTGCGTTCGTGCCGGACTGCAAGTTCAGCAAAGAGATGAAGGCACATGGGGTGTTGGTGATCCAGCCGTCGATCGCGCTGGCCAACATCGTGACCCGCATGGCCCTCTTGGAACCAAAGATGGCCGAAGCGCTGTCGAACGAGATCAGTACGACACACGACTTTAGTACGGCGTCGTACTTCTTGGGGGGCGCCGGTGGCGATGTGACTGATTTGCGCTTGGACGGCCGATCGATGGCGCTGGGCCGGAGTGTGATAAACCACCACTCGGTGGACTACGACCGACTGGCCGAACTCTTTGCGGCGGAACACCTGCCGATGCCTCCTCCGCCGTCTCGTGTTGCCATGTTCGGCACGTCGGGGGCCTCGTACGACCCGTTCTCGAGCCACCGGAGCAGCCAGTCGAAGCTCTTCCTCGTCCACGACGACGCCGACACTGGCGGAAGTCACAACATCATCACTCCCGGACAGTTCCTGTCCCGCACGCCCGCGATGTACTCGTTCAACTCGATGCAGACCCCACCGCTTTCGGAGAATCAGCTGCCTCGGCAAGGACCACCCAATGCGAGTACTCTGAAACAAGTCAAGCAGTAGAAGGTGGTAGACCGTGTGAGGGGCTCTTGGCGCGTGTATTCTGTCCACGCCGTACGCGGACTTGTCGAGAGCAAAGAAAAGTATCGAGAGGTGCGCCAAGTGCGGGCGTGTGCTTCTGTCCCGTGATAAACTATTAAGCCAATTTGAACCATTTGGACATTGCGTTGACCGACGACTTTCCCTGTTTCCCAAGCGGTAGGTCCGAAGCAGTTGCAGCAGTAGTAGTAGTAGTAGTTGTTGTTGTTGTTGTTGTAGCTCCAGCAGTGCCCGTCGTATTTGTGAATGACTTGACGGTGCAGACGAACGAAAAGAGAACGAAGAGGGTGCGAATTGACTTTTCTTTCCCACTCGGACCGAACATGGACATGTATGTGCACATGTGTGTGTCTACTTGTCGTGCGCACGAATGTCCACTACGCTCTTGTGGTAATCACTTGCAACCTCCCAACACGATCGATCCTGTATGAATGTTGCGATCGATCTTTTCAGCCACTTGCGAGTGGGTGTGTCTACCGCAGCGTCTCAGCCGAAAACCGGTATCGAAAAAAAGGCCTCTAAGAAGGCGAAGAGCTACGATAGGCCCACTCACGCACTGTTTACCTGTCTGTGTTTACTGCTGCTTTCGTCAGTCAGTCAGTCAGTCAGTCAGTCACTCGGTCGGTCGGTCGGTCGGTCCGTCTGTCTACCCGCAAGTAAGCCAGCAGGCCCTTTCTCGACCGCGAGACGAGACGCGCTGTCGAGCGCCACCGATGCAGACCATCGCCGAGGACTTTGCCATCTTGGCAACGCCCGGGAACTCGTTCCCGTTGGCTGCAGCAGACGAGCGCATCGTGTCGGACAGGCTTCAGCGGCCAAGTCCCGACCTGCCACGTGCCCTCTCGTCCACAAGTCAAGTCGGGGGTGGAAAGCCCACGTGGTGTGGCATCTCGCGGGCGTCCATGGACAAACACGTGCCTGTGGTGATGAGCGTCGCCATTGGCGCGTACGTGGGCGTGGGGAGTCGCGTCCTGCTGACGGAATTCGCCCACGTGCTGAGCGCGCGTCAGACCAATTTGCTGGAGCTGCTGGGCTTTGGCTACTACCTGCCGAATGTCGTTGGCTGCTTTGTCATGGGCCTCGCGGCCCGCGTGAAGCCTCTGTTGCGCGGCCAGTACGACGTGCTGCTCACGGGCGTGACGACGGGCTTTTGCGGCAGCTGCACCACGTTTGCTGGCTGGGACCTCGGCGTCGCGCTCCTGTTTGTCCACAATCAGTGGCTGACCGCCATCCTCGTGCTGGGCATACACGTTGCAAGCGCCATCACGAGTCTTCGTCTTGGCTTTCACGTTTCCGACGGCATTGTGCACTACTTCACCATGCGCGAGTATCCGTTCCGCAAACCACCGGTCAACCTGCCACAGCTGAACCTGGACCTGGAAACCAGCATTTGTCGCTTCCGAGAGATGAAGACACATACGTTTGGACCGCTTGTTGCTCGACGAGTGCAGGCGACCGAAGAAGCACTGGTGTTGGCGAGGGACTCGTGCAACGAGTTGACAGCAGAAATCACTCAAGTGGAGCACGAACAACAGGCAGTTGTCCATCATACCATGATCTGGGTAGCGGCAACACTTGCGCTGACGGTGCTCTTCTGGACGCTTGCATTCTGTGGCTTCGACAACTACCCTAGCTCCAGGATCCTGGCCGTCTGTTTCGCTCCTTTCGGTGCACTCTTGCGATGGTACTTGTCCATGTACAACAGCGAACCCACGTGCAAGCGATTCCCGTTTTTCACGTTCTGGCCGAACGTCTCTGCGTCGTGTCTGAGCTGCGCAATGGAGATCGTCGGCAGTGTTGTATACCGTGACAGTGCTTCTGCGTACCGTCACTTCGTGATGTATGGCCAAGGCGGCGTGATGGTTGGCTTCCTGGGTTCATTGTCTACGGTGTCGACGTGGGTGTATGAGCTCGACAACCTCTCGTCGAGGCGTCTTATCTGGGCGTATCGCTACGGCCTCACAAGCGTCGTTGTCGCGCAGCTCGCGAGTGTTTTTATTCTAGGCATGTACAATGCGTACGGCAGCGGCCTGTTTGTCGAGTAACATCACACGTACCTACGAGTCGTCGGTCGTCGTCAGTCCTGTAGTTAGATACTTGCGCATAGTCCGCTCAAGGCCAACCACAACGTGCAATCTGTTTGGCACAAAAGTCTCGTGCAACGCGCACTGCAAAGAGCTCCACGAGGCCACGTTAAATATTCAGCACGATGCGTTACCAATCAAGAATCCATGCTGAACATGGCCTGCAAAATCGCCTTCGTGTCGTCTTGCAACCGAGACGAGTTCCCGTAGTCTCGGACCTCGGCCCGAATCGATCCTGGCGACGTGGCGCGAAGAGTTTGCAAAGCCGCTTCGCCTCCTTTTCAGTGTACAACAACCGAATCGACGAACCAGCAAACACCAAGCAATCAAGCAACCAACAAGCACACACATGAGCACCAAGCAACCAGCCAACAACGATCGCCTCAACAACACTGGCAGACAGCTCACACCCCTTTCGATGCAATTTCCCACGCACCGATCATGACGGTCTCTTCCTGCTTCCTGGCGACGCGCACAGTCGATAGCAGCGACTTCTCGACGACGACAATGACCTCCACTAGCATTGTTTCCAGTACAGTCAGTACAATAGCCATCGAGTCACATGGCACGGGGGTCTTTTGGTGCTGCCTTCACCTCCAAAGCTTCGAAGCGTCTCGAGGCACTTGCTCGCGTCTTCCTCACAGAGGAACCGGCACCTGCACCACAGACACACACAACGACTTCTGTCAGTTATTGTGCAACTTCATATTGTTACTTCCGATCGCACTCATTCGCCACTCGCCACGTACATGAACCGCTGCTTGCCGTTGCCGGAGATCACCTGAAGTAACTGTCGACTCATGATACACTTTCGTGGCTGATCGAACTTGCGGTGGAAAAACCGATTGACTCGCGGGTACACCATCTGGACCCTCTGTGATGCAGCGTCCAGCACGAGCTCTCCGTGCCGCTTCGAGTGCACGAGCGTCGACGTCGTTGCTCCAGCGCGCGCCATCACGAGCTGCGCGCGGAAGCGGGGCATGTTTGCGACTGCAGGTGAATGCTGCACGACGATTGGTTGAAAAGCGAGCTGACGTGAACTAGAATATAGCCAATGAGGAGGTCGAATGCATTGACAAACAAGCACAGACTCGGAACAAACCCGACGAGCCAAGAGATGCTGAAGGCTACTGCGTCTTCTCAGCGCTATGCTTGGGCGCTACTGCTGGCGCTGATCGCTTCTGGATGGGCTGTGCACGTGTGCTCGCTGGACGTGGAGTGGCGCAATTACTGGGAGTCGGCCTGGTACCACTCGGGACTTGGCTGTACGTACTGTGGGGTGGAGTGGAGTGGAACCTTTGACTGTGGAGGGATGTGCGCCGCTTGGTACTGACATAGCTCGTTTACTGCTGGTAGACCAATGCACGTACGTGAACAAACCGTCTCAGGCAGTGCGTGCGCATCTGCAGGAGAATCTGAAGGGCCAAGAGCGAGCGGTGGAGGCAGTTGTGGGCGCGATCGAAGCGTGGGAGTTCTCGTGCGTTGGCATTTGTGGACGTATTTGCTGACGAGTACAAGTGGACTGTACGAACGATACGAATGATGTGTGACGTTCATTGCTGTTGCTTTGTTGTGTTAATTGGATGGAATAGGACGTCGACGAAGGACCGTGCGCCGTTGGTACTGGCGATTACAGGACCGACTGGAACAGGCAAGACAGAGATGTCCAATCTGATTGCCGAGGCGCTGTTTCAACGCAAGAAAAAGATGCCACATAGCGAGAAACGCGTGCCAACTGGACTGCTGATTTATCGGTAAGCTAGAGGGCAGAAGATGTTGTGGTGTTGGAAACTGTAGTCAGCTTGTGGTGAATGTTTCAACAGTGGAGAGGATTTCAGCGACAACTTCACGAACCCCATCACGGAGTATCACACCCAAATCAAGACAAGGTAAATGGTCTGCTGCTGCTGCTGCTGCCATGTTGCTCTGCGTTTGCTAATGCTCAGCTTTTGTTGACGTGACGCTGTTGTAGACTAGCTGAGCACTTGCATCATTGCTCGGGCAAAGCTGTCGTGGTGATTGACGAAGTGCAGAAAGTGATTCCGCACACTCTCGATGGTGCGACAGTGTTTTGCTGCAGTCTCCCATTGGTAGGCGTGATCTCATTAGTGCGTGCGCAGTCCTTATGGAAGCTGTCAGTGAGAGCTCTCAGTTTTCTTACTACAAGCACGGCGTGACCAAGAATGTCGACACCGCCAATGTACGTCGTCTTTTGGCTGGATTGCATATCGAACGCGTTGCAGGTTGTTGCGTTACTTATCGAATCGCACCGGTCATAGGTCATTTTCATACTCGTGTCGGACATTGGCGTGGGCGAGATGGAGCAGGTGATGATTCAGTATGAGACCCGAAACGAGATACCCACCGCACAACTTGAAAGGGTCGTGAAGGCAGCTCTGGATGATCAGTGGAAGCGACTGGAATTTGGCAAAATGATCGATCGGGTATGCTGCGCTTACCACCTGAGTGTTGGTCAAGCTAGAGTGTGCGTTGACGGAGGGCTTTGTTTGTTATCGTCTGAACCTGTGCTGCACGTTGTAGGTCGTTCCGTTTCTGCCTTTCGAGCACCAGCACATCGTCGAGATCATTGCTCTGAAGCTGAAACAGCTGGACAATAACTACCGTGGGAAGTACTGGCATCGCCTGTGGATCGACGTGCGTCGTTTGTTGTTGACACACCGATTGCTAGAGCTCTGGTTGATGAATTGCTGCCGCGTTTGTTGTTGCAGGGATCGATTGCCGACTACATGTCGCGTTTGGACTCGGTGCACTACAAAGTGCGTTCAGCAGTCGTGGACGGCAAGGTCAAGTCGAGCAAAGTGTTTGCCAAGTACGGAGCTCGCGACGTCGAAACAGGTCCGATTCAGCTGCTCAAGTCCAAGTTGCTGCGCTATTTGCGGCCTTTTGACCCCGACGCTGAGATCCGGATCGCACAAGACCCCCAGACGAAGGACATTTCCATCGTGTCCTGTTCACTCAAAGACGTGACGATAGCATCGTCGAGGAAAAGCGAAGACCAACGCAGCAGTCCATCGATGCTCGACAAGCACGGCCGTGACAGTCGAGACGACTTGATCCGCGTCGGCTGCGTCACTAAATGGTCTGGTCCATTCGAATAGCATGATGCGCTATTGTTGTTGTTGTTGAGTACATTTGAATCAGTTAGTTGTCTGTCGTCCATTTGTGTCCGCCCCTCATGGCTCGTACGATGCACCCATCCCCCTCCCCCATCCCCTCTCTCGCACCTTGACAATAAAAATAAACCTATAAAACCCCATAAAAATAAACCCATAAACCCCATAAAAATAAACCCGTAAACCCCGTAAAAACAAACCCATAAACCATAAAATACAATTCGCCGTTTGCTACGAAACACACGACACCACAAAACCCGATCCGATCGAATGAGCGCGTTAGAGTCGTCCGAGATCTGGGGCCCCGACGCCGAGGGACTGGACCCGGAGATTCTGCTCATGTCGAACGACGAGCTGCGGCAGCGCATCCGCCTGCTGGACAACGACATCCGCATCATGCGCAGCGACATCCAGCGCATCAACCACGAGAGCAACTCGCAGCGCGAGCGCATCAAAGAGAACCACGAGAAGGTCAAGCTCAACAAGCAGCTGCCGTACTTAGTCGCGAACGTCGTTGAGATCCTCGAGCTGGCCGACGACGACGACGAGCAGGACGGCGCCGCGACCGACGTGGACGCGCAGCGCCAGGGCCAGAGCGCCGTGATCAAGACGAGCACGCGGCAGACGATCTTTTTGCCAATCCCAGGGCTCGTGCCATCGTCCACGCTGATCCCCAATGACCTCGTGGGCGTGAACAAGGACAGTTACTTGATTTTGGAGAAGCTCCCGAGCGAGTACGACTCGCGCGTGAAAGCAATGGAAGTGGACGAGAAGCCGACGGAAGAGTACAGCGACATTGGCGGGCTGGACAAGCAGATCCAGGAGCTCGTCGAGGCCGTGGTGCTCCCCATGACGCACAAAGAGCGGTTCGACGCGATCGGCATTCAGCCCCCCAAGGGTGTGCTCTTGCACGGTCCGCCTGGCACGGGCAAGACGCTGCTGGCGCGGGCCTGTGCCAAGCAGACGGACGCGATTTTCTTGAAACTCGCTGCGCCTCAGTTGGTGCAAATGTTCATTGGCGACGGCGCGAAACTCGTGCGCGACGCGTTTGAGCTGGCCAAGGAAAAGTGCAAGGACCAAGGACGTGGCGGCGCGATTATCTTTATTGACGAGGTGAGATGGCAGCAAAAGACGGAAAAGGGGCACGATGGGACTTCTGTAGAGTGATTGAGGTGAAGGTGGTGCGGTGGGTTGCTGACGTACAGTCGTGTTGTGTTTGTTGCGATTAGCTGGATGCCATTGGAACCAAGCGCTTTGGCGGTGAACAGTCGGGTGACCGGGAAGTGCAGCGCACCATGTTGGAGCTGCTGAACCAGTTGGACGGATTCACGAACAACACAAAGATCAAGGTCATTGCTGCGACGAATCGTCCTGATGTGTTGGACCCTGCTCTCCTTCGGTCTGGACGTCTGGATCGCAAGGTTTGCTGCATGCTGATATGTATATCTGTGGAGAAGAATGTTGCTCATTGGTACGGCTGGATAATGTAGATTGAACTGCCGCACCCGACGGAAGAAGCTCGTGCTCGTATTTTGCAGATTCACTCGCGTAAAATGAATGTCGACACGGAAGGTAAATGACGGAGTCAACCGCTATGGAGTCAACGTCGTGCAGCTAAACTGATCGTACTTTGCAATGCTTTTCGTTACGCTCAGATACCAACTTTGACGAGCTGGCGCGCTCGACGGACGACTTTAACGGTGCACAGCTGAAAGCGGTACATGCACTGCATCGATTGCTGATGTTACAAATTGGCCACTTGCTCATCTGTCGTACTTGCGCCTTGTCGATCAACTTGTGTCTGCAGGTCTGTGTGGAAGCTGGTATGCTGGCACTGCGTCGCGAAAGCAACGTGATCAAGCACGAAGACTTTATGGAAGGCATATCTGTCGTGTCGGCCAAGAAGAAAGCGACGCTGCAGTACTACGCGTGAAGACAATGTAGGCCCATCGTACAGCAAAGCGTGTTGCAAATGACGCAGGGAGTGATTAGAGCGTAACGATTGCTACTGTGCTCAGCGACATTTCTCATTTGTCTTATGTTCGCTCAGCTCACGTTTGTGCAATTGTGCCGCCGAGCATAATCTGCTCAATAGATTGGCAGTCGCTACAAGTTTGACGAATATGCACAGCATCGTCTGTCTTTGAGTCAATGCGGTGTGTCTATTCAGCACAGATGCAAGTATGGGTCCGTCTGTACGACAATTGAACCAGCTGCATCCTCGTCTTTTGTCGAAATCGTCAGTCTGAGACGGACAGCATGCAGACACCGGATACTGCCGACATGGTCGAGTCGTTGTTGCATCACACTTCTTAGCTCCTGCTGATCGATATCAACGTCGTCAAAAGGTTGAGCCACAACGACAGACATGGAGACGGGGTGCGCTGATCGAGTAAAGCCATCGCGCCAGAAACGTGCTGGCGTGACGAGAAAACGTCAATGAAGCCAAGAGATGAAGAAGAAGTGCACATACCTTGTGCAAATGTCGTGAACGGCGGCGATGCTCGCCAAACACACCCAAGCAGCTGTACTCGGAACACCATTGTGAAACAACAGCTGATGTTATGTTGACGCGAGCGATTCTTCTTGAAGAGGTACGAGATACGAGCTCAACTCCGTCCTGTCAACCTCGTCTGAAAGCACCAAACCCCGTTTGTGCTCAAGCTGTATCTGAAGCTCGTCATAGTGTGCGAAATCGTCCCAAGCACTCGAGCGGCTATCAAACTCGGTAAAGCGAGTCAGGAACTCACTGGCCTGCGCACGACAATCGTAAGCGACAGTTGCCAAGCAATCGCTCGGACTACTAGACGAAACTTTCACAGTAGACCCTCACCTCGCTGCACAGCACTTCTTCGCAATCTCGACACGAGGTGATGGATTTCTTCGTCGGCGTGTTGCTCATCTTGACCCCCGTGAGCACATAATTGGGCACATCTTTGACCAGCAGCCACTCGACACGAAAGAACCCCTCGTACTTGAGCTTTTCCCATAGCTGAAATTGCGTATCCGTCTGTACACTCGACGTCATGCGAGCAATGCCGTGAAAGTGCCTCGTGTTGCACACGCTAGTGGGACCAACGACACCAACACGAACACATGTTACAACATCCACTATTAGGACGGCGCCAGCTCGTACAACACACAAACGTGCATCGAATGCAAGTACCTAAAAAAGAGCAGCACTGGTCGGTCTGCAGTCAGGCTGCTGGCTCGGTAAACCTGGTCCAATAGAGCACTGTGCAACGCTGTCGTGCTCCAGATGCCAAACTTGAGACTTTTGTGGACATTGGCCTCACTGAACGACTTGAGCACGAAACAGCGGCACGTGGAGCTGGAAAAGAGATCGCGCACCGCTTGTTCTTGTTCACTGATCGCCACACGTTTCGCAGTGGCGTCTGAAGGTCGTCGATCCTGAGCAAACCGCGGCGCAACGTGTGGTCGCCGCTTCTTTTTCGGGTGTGGCATGTCGCACTCGGTCGCTTTTGATATCGTCTGAGCTGCTGACCGCCAATGGATGTGGCCGCTTTTATGCACACCGATCTTTTTCTGATACGCAACGTGTGACGAGTCTTGCGACATGGATGAGGAACGTGGCAGACAGGACATTGTTTGCTCAATTCCGAGTGACGCTTTGCAGCGGTAGAAAGACGCAGCTCGGGACATTCATTGTGCCTGTTTGTTGGAACGGTGAGCGATGGATCGAGAAATGCCATCTTTTGCAGCGAATATGGCACTTGCAACGACAGTTGTTTTGACTGTGCTTGTGGTGACTGAAAAGAGTGTCATTTGTGGTCGTGTGGACTATGGCCTACCGTCCGAATATGGCAGTGTGTGAAGTAATCGTAGCTTGTGCGCCTAGTTGCAGTGTGCCTGCCCAAAAGAACAAGTGATCTGATACCACCGTCTCGGTCCATGCAATTATCGTTGTGTTTGTATTAAGATCATAATCATATGCACCTATTTAATTGAGAGAGATAAATATGCATTTCATTGTTTAGAAATTACACGTACAGCGAAGTCATAGAAACGTGAACCTAGGACGTATACTATACATACGGATCGCCTCCTATCAGGAGTCGAAGCCATTTGTCATTGTCCTAGATATTCATGCAGATTCATCGTAACGATATGCGAGGAATTGAACGTTCGCGGTCGTCCAAATCGGGCTCTAGACATCCGTCCGTCTTTCAATCGACCACCGAAGCGATTGATTATAATCGGACATACCATGCAAAGAGATGAGGTGCGAGTGTGCAGTAGGGTGAGTCTACTACACTCGGCATTGACATCACGATATACGTAAGTGCTATCTTTGCGTATGATGCGTAGCAAGATCGTCGCTGAAAATAACATAGTGAGATACTATCACCGTCGAAGGTGCATTCGGCACCAGTTGACGAGACACTGCGCTTTGCCCGATCCAGACCATGCTGTCGTCACCAGCAGTGTCACCATCGCATGACAAGTGCGCGCAACACGTAATGCGCAAGTGGTCGGCATTTGTATTTGTTGTCCGACGTGACTCAAGTCAATCAATCCACAGCATATTGTATGAGACGACTCTACGTATCTGAATGCAGATCTCTTTCCGTTGAGCTGAGCGCAACCCTCAAGCTTTTGTACGCTTCTTTTACAAAGCGGTTGTGGGATTTCTAGACACATGTTACACTCTTTGTAGCGGCGGTGGTTCATGCGATGTCAGTAATAGCGTCCTGTGCCCCGGAACAAGGCATGTGTAGATTCGTCCGTGTCGTATGCGTTCGGTCTCCGTAATTGCCATTTCACCCTCATGTGTATCTGTCCTTTTGCTCTTTGTACCTTTCCATCTGATCTCGTATCGATCTTATTTTTCAGCTATTTTGGCGTTTAGTGCATGTATTATCGCATATATTTCTCAATTAATTGAATGATACCTTTGTATCCCTCACTTTATCTCTCGTCGGCCAGTGATACCGGACAGTCGCAATGGTGCAATCCAATAAATCGGCCACAACCTATGCAGCGATCGCAGCGCAAGCGGCGGATGCGTTGCAAGCGCTGGTACAGTCGACGCGTGTCAAAGTGGAGCCTGCAGTAACTTTTGTGTCGTGTGGCTCGCCATTACATGAGCATTTCGTGCCCGAATCGTCGCTGGAGAAGCATTTGGTAGTACCTTGAGACGGCCATTTATCTGAATATTGCAATACATCATCAGTCGCTCAATAATGGCTGTTGTTGTCCTATTGTGGGGAACCGTCATATCGAGCGACAGAGAAAATGCCACGGAGAACGACGGCCTCGTCTGATTCATAATGCAGCGGTAACGTACAATAGTACAACAATGATACAGGACCTATCGCCACGCCTCTCACCACTTCCTTCGGCAGTTTTATTACGGCAGACGCGACGAAAAAGATGGACAGGATACTCAAGAAACAACAAGCAAATTCATTGAAGAAGCTACTAGCGATATTGGTGCACGTCCAGAGATGGACAACAGTCATAGCGGAGATGAGAATGCAACTAAGCTGCAAAGCCTATTGGAGCCTGAGAATGTCTCGAGTGAAGAGCAGAGCAATCGATATGATCACGACAATGACAGAGGCGGCATAACGAGTGCACTCGAGGCAATGGCGACTTCGGCTGGGTCATTCTACAGCCAAGTACAGGCGTGGCAACGTATACCGCGACCTTTTGCTACAATGAAAGACAACGAGCGCAAGTTAGTGACGTCACTGTCTCTGTGCCGATGGCTGAATGCCGAACTGAGTCGTCCTGGCGTGTTACCAAACGGCGAGGCGCTCGATGACGAGCTGGTCGACTATGTGGTTGGATTAGTGGACCATCCCGACTTTTGCCAGCCTGACCGTTTGGTATCGGAACTCTACGAGTTCTTGGGCAGAAACGTGACGGTAAGAGCGTAGTGCGTGGCACCATTGGACGGCTCGTGTTGTGCTGACAGCGTGTTGTGCGTGCAGACGTTTGTGCTCGCGCTTTGGAAATTCTTGGTGATCGAAATTGGGCTTCGAAGTGTGTTCGTACGTCGCTACTGATCTATCTTGAATCCAGGCATTGCATTTCTATCATTTACCAACTAAGTTCACGGTACTTTGACAAATACAGCAAAACGTAGCAAAGAGCGAGAAGGATGTGGCAGTTCGAGTAGACTCATCTTTCGGCAGCAGCCATGGTAGCTCCAAAACGAGTGCTGTATCCGTGGCCTCTCGAGTATCACCGAGTGATGCAAGAGCAGAGCATGCACACAAGCATCACCGTGCTTCGTACAGGGGAAAAGTGGGTACAAAGACAGGCTCCGCAGCGTACAGGGATATGATTCAGAAGCACATGATCGGCCTTAGTCTCGAGACGGACCGGGAACTTGTGCTCGGTGGTGGGTTTACGAATAAGCGAGAGGAGGAGAAGCATCCGATGACCGTGCATCACTCTGGTCGTAATCCTGTCGACTGCTGGTACAACTTTACTGACGCGCTCGCGGTGCGCAACCGAAGTCGAAAGCGTCAGCATGATCACTTTGTAGGCAGCAAGCGGCGATCCAGGTCGGATTCCAAGTTGAATGAACGACGAAGCGTGCGTAGAAGGTCGTGTGCGCAGGACAGCAACGTACATCGTAAAGGGTCCGCGAGTCCGGACAGAAGTAGAGGGAGGTCTCGAAAACGATCCCGGGATCGAAGTAGAGGCCGGAGTCGTAGTCCTCGTCACCGGGTGCGCGGTACTGAATACGATAGTCGGAGAAGAGATCAGGATCGGGCTGATTACCGTCGTGGTCGTCGCTGAAATTGCCACGTATGAATCGACTGAACAAAGCAAGTGTACGCACGGAGCGGTGCCATGGAAATGAAACTGGAGAAACAGGCACCTGGAGAATTGATGGTGCGAGGTTGTGATCGATTTCAGCTATGGACGTGGCATTGAACGTAACAGATTCAACAACGAGAAAGTCCAAGCATTTACATACGGCTATTTCGCTGCGAAACGAACGCGTGAACGTCAAGCATTCCGTCGGGGTTCGATGAAAACCTGGCTGATGCTGATGTAAAAGGATTTTCAAAACTGAGGCTGACCGTTATCTGTTGCTCCGATTGATGTCTTGTTGTAGCAACACGAGGACCAACAGCGCAGGTTCTTGTACGAGATGCAAGAGAATATGGAGAAAGCGGGACTCGGCAAACATCAGCCATACGCGAATAAAATATCACCTTCCATCTTGTAAAAGTTCGGGATATGAAGCTGTCAATACCGTGCCAGCCCCACTATCGTAACGAGACATGTGTGGCGACTTTGCTAGTCCGCAGCCTAAAGATGGAAGACCGATCATCGCATAGCTTATTTTGACACGATCAAAAAACAGTATCGTGGATCGACGAACAGGTCGGTGTCGTATGCAATCTGGATGCAGACGCTAATGTGCTGCTGAATCCACTTCCAGCAGCAAGGATGCAAATCGAGATAAGCACCTGTGTCGATCCGCCGATCGATGGCGAACCATCGAAGTCCATTACTTGGATGGCATCACTTATCACTAGCAGTTTGGGCGGCTTCACAGTTTGGTACTCGCTGCGTATTACAGCAACGCTGGGACTGAGACTTCACGTTTGCTGGGGAAACGAATCATAGCTTGCTTGAGATGGACCCGAAACTAGCTCAGCGCTGTCGCCTTACAAGCGATGGTAGTGAACCAGCAAAGCCCCGACATGTGGAGATCTGGCAACTGGCCAAGTTGCCAGCGCTGAGCTTTGCAGCAGTAAACAAATTTCTGGACGTTTTCTAGGCCACACTGTCGGCTACAACAACACACCTACTGAGTCGTGGCTACAACTGTCGCTGCTGTTTGCGCTGGAGCTAGACGTTGAGAGTGCAATGCTACTCGACATGTGGGCGATGGACAAAGGGTCAAGTGATGCGGTCAATGGCCCATGTCACGTATCGAAAGTGACGTCTGCACTGAAATGGTCCGCAACTTTAACGGGATAATTGTGACTCACGTGCAAGTGATTGCATCGATATGTACGCCAAAAGTCGTTGGACTACGTGAGCTCAGGCCCAAGCATCAAATTGAGGTGTACTGCATAAAGATGCGAAGCATCACGTACATGCTGAGGTCCGCAGGTCGTCATTTGACCACGTACTACCATTGTATGTTTCGCACGATACCTGCACCGCAGCCCTGGGACAAACTTTTTTGTCGCTAGGTTGGGGCAACGAGCGACCCACCAGTCTTTTCGAGCACCGTGAAGCAATAATGGCCACACTATAGCCTCATGTAGACGAGAACCCGGGCGGACCTGTTTTCAGCATGATGTAGGCGAGTTCGAACGCGTACAAACGAATACTCGAAACGTTCTTCCTCACAGCGATATGCCATAACATGAATTCGGTAGACGAGAATAGTGCGGTCCGTTGTGTATGTAACCTCCAACGATGAACATGTTGGACTTGTAGTCCTTCCAAAGCGCGAAATAAAAAGTGAACGACACGATCAGTTGTCCACGCAAATGCAAGGTCTTCCAAGACGCATCTCTCAAAGATGAAGTGGAGTCGGCACTTTGACAGCTGACCACGCAGGATCCCAATTGAATCATGAGGCCAGTCATCCTGACGCATGACGTCAAGCGTTGTCTATGTATCGAGTGGCATGGTGACCACAGAGGACCACTAGGTTCCACCGTCCACGACGCACTCTTGAGGGTCCACCGGCGCTTCTAGCTGGTTCGGGACTCGACAGGGATCTTGTACGTAGTTGGTATCATGTACAAATACGATGCGAACTTCTCCTTCTACCTACCTATCAGCCACAGAAGAAGAAAATGCAGGTTGCAACAGCCGATGGAATTGGTACCATCACCGCTGTTTGGGGATCGTAGCCAGACCACGTCTGAGGCACAACAGGTAGAGACGATCAATGGGAACAGAAACGTAAACCGTCATCACTGTCAGTTGGCGAGTCATGACAGCATGGGAGTATATGAGTGATCCAATTTTGCTACAATTGCTGCCGCTGTCATATCCAGCGCGGTCACCTTGCTGACGGCACACCCCGTAAGGAGATTGAATCGTTGACAACAACAGAGTCAGTGGTCGTGACAACAGCAGCAGCAGGCAGGCGCAGTGAAGAAAGCATATCTCACTAGAGAAGTACAGACCGCACCGGGAACGAATGTGGACACACACATTTCGTTCTTGACGGTCGCTTGCTATTTCGGACACTCACGAGTGTGATCAGCCATGGGCGTTATCGTCTGCTGTTGACGACGCCTGACAATGCTCACAGCTATCTCGTGATGAGGTCGAAAAGAACGAAAAGCAGCGAGTAGTGGCGAGTAGCTTCTTTTCGTAAGTGCCAACTTTGATCACAAGGCACTCACTGTGTCTCGTGGGAAGGGCGTGCGCTTGCCTCTGGGAACCGATTTTCGCTGCGCGTGTAGCTCTCAAATCTGCATACCATGCGGGAAAGAAGAGGCAGCAGAAGAGGAAGGACCAGACTAATTCAATGAGCCAGCGTCAACTTACCTGCTGCTGCTGCATCTTCTCGACGACGTTTTGTAGCGGTCGCACTCGACGAGAAGGTATGTCTGGCACGAGAGCTCTGGCCACAGCGCCTTTTTCCATAACGCCGTTGTATTCGCTACTGGTATAGTTGCTGCCACTACTAATGGCGATGCTCTTGATGGTGTGGTGTCAAAGGTGCGAGGCATTCGCTGTCGAAAGTGTCGAGCAGTTGCTTCGTTGCGCTCTTCGTCTTTGACTGCTTTAGCGTCAGCCACATGCGTGCGTGCGTGTGTGGAGTGTGACCTTATAGACAGACACACAGGCAGCATTTATCATCCGCTGTGGACAATAGCTCCCACCTTACGAAACCAGTTTCATCACGCTCTCGGCTTATCTGCTGCACACAGTCACTAGTTCGTTAGTCCTTTTGGCTTGCAAGCAACGAATCAACGACTGTATCAAATAGCAGGAATGTGCTTGAAAGCTACTTTTGCGATTGCAGCAGCTTCACAATGGCAGCAGACGCGCTCGGATCAAGACTGCCCGTCTACGTGTTCAAGTGCTTTAGCCTGTTCAGTGCCTTGCGATCAAAAGCCTGACTGTGCGTCAAATACACTTCGTAGAGGTCACAGTAAGCCATCACTTGCAGAAGGCTCACTCTTTTTTTCTCCTCTTCATCACTCTGTGAATCCAATTCCTTTCTACTTCTTCTCGCTTCTTCGCTGTCATGATGGAGTTCGCTAAGTCGAGCACTTCCATGTCTGCCTCCCTGTATCCCACGAACTTATTGATGTTCCTCATGACTCCGGCCTTGACTTCGTTAGTGATGTCATCGAACGCCATCAGATCCTGTAAAGTAAGTCTCCTTTCTTCTTGGGCACGTCTGTCGTCGTCGTCGTCGTGATGACCGGTATCGAGACTTGTGGCAACGCGCAATAGGTTGGTGCCCCTGGTCCGTGGAGTGGCTGTCTCTTGGAGCGGCGTGGCCACATCATCACTGGGTCCAGTAGTCAAAGGCGTCGCTCGAGAGGAAAGCAGGAGACCAGTGAGTAGCGCGAGCAGTTTCTTGGTCGAGAGCATGACCGTTCCTTTGGGGAATGGCTTGACGTGGTCTGCGAAGAAAAAGCGATTGTGCGGTCAATCGGAGCATTCTCCTCGTTTCGTGCGACCGCAACCGCGTGCGCTTTTGTACAGACCAGGGAAGAGACATGACCCGTCAAATCATGACTCGCATCATCCCGCAGGTCAGCATGCAAGTCGCTGTGGGACGGTAACCACATGACGCGATTCGTCCACTGGGGCGTAATCGCTGTCCTTTTCACGTCGTACCGTATACGGCACATGTGCAGTATGCAATCACGTCGCGCTTTGCTACCAGGTAACAATCATGCAACAGCGCACGTTACGAATCAGGTCCGTTGCCTCGTCCGTTGCAAACAAAGCAAAAGGGATACGCGACGCATCAAACGCGACGAGAAATGGTTGGAAGCCACGCAGCCAAAGCTACGCGCTTGCGTAGGGGCATGAGCAGCACCTTATTGATAGCAGGACGTCCAGGACGCGACGACGGTGCTAGTTGACAAGATCTACCGATCGAAACAAACTGTAACCCGGAAGGCAGGGAAAAAGCTCAATGCATGCGATGGACATCAAGATGCTGAGGATGAAAGAATCGCTTCGGAGCTTGAGCATAGCATGTGCACTAGTGCTCGGTAGGCTTTAAGTGTGTCCTTCCCGCTCGTCATGTCAGTGCGATCATACGACTATCAGGTCAGAGCTTGAGCTGCCTGTTGCAGAAGAAAGTGCCATGCGCTTGGCCCAGTAGGTCCGGTGCAAATGGTCGTGAATGCTGCGTCTGTAGCTCAGCGAGGACACTGCCAAAGCTGCTGCTCAGCACGAGACCACGTTTGCAACGGGCAACGGAATGGACTGCACCGCAATCGAGAAGCACCGCGCGCACATGCGATACCTACGCTCACTATGGCGCGCCCTCGCTCACTTTTGTTCGGCTCGCATTGTTTCGGTGTTGACCCACTGACCAGAAGATGAGCTTGCGAGAGACACACGTTATGTTTACGAGCAGCAGATGACGGGTGCTTGAGTATAGAACGTATCGAAGAGTGTGTCTGGGCTGCGACAGGGAGGGCAGCAATACGATCCATAGGCGAAGGAATGGATGATCCCCAAGCTCGCGCATTCGATAGCAGTTGACTCATGCAACATCAAACATTTTGAGGCCGCTGTGTCCGTCTGTCGGAGATCCTGATCAATCGAGAGACTGATGATGTGTTTGTATGGAGTGACCCATCGAAGATCTAGCGGTTCGACCAGGACCAACTCGCACAGCTTTTGCATTATAAGTGAACAAATACAGTCGGTCGGCAAGGGCTACTCGTCGCTTATCGACACGAACCTCTGGCTCGTGATGTAGACGCGTGAAAGACAGCCACGTCCAACCACTGATGAACATCGTACCGTCCATTATTACCTGTCATGATCAACATCCACGCACCACGTTTGCTACCTTTCTTGCGCTACATGATGTAGTGCAGCTTCTTTGGGTGGCGCCGGAGCTTTCCAGTCTTAATCAGACGCACAACAACACTGTTGCTCACTTCAAGAGCTGTTGACAACCCCCTTCCTGTCATGCGTCGCTCTGCGGGAATCGCAGCAATTCGCCGCTTGAGCTCTTCGTCCGACACCTTGGGCTTTCGCCCTGAACGCCCTTTGATCCGACTGGCAACGTTCCCCGCAAGGCCGTCCGTGACACTAGAGTCCATGTACAGTTTCCACAGACGTCGAATCGTGGCCCGATGCACGCCAAAGTGAATCGCTGCGGCTTTAATGTCCCCGTGTTTCAGACGTCCTGCTGCACTGTTTGCAAGCAGGTAGTGGACAATCGCTGCGCGCTGTTGATCCGTCAAGTTCTTGCGCTTTCCCGTCATCGACTCAGCAAGCAGAACGGTATCACGTGCGTCTTCGGAACGTTCCATTGGTATCGTGGCGATGGGCGTCACGAAGGCCATGTCCAGCAGTTTCGTCGGAACTTCTTGGGGCGATCGCAGCAATTTCGTCGATTCCGTCACAGAGACTTCCGGCACTGGAAGCGATGCGAGCGGCACGTTGGCCTCAAAAGGTGTGGGCAACGACGGCAGTGGCACTGGCATCGCTTGGCTCGGGTTCCACGCCGCACGCGTCGTGTCGGTCGAAGGCTCCTCCATCGCTGTTCGCTCTGGCTGCTTATGTTTGTCGCCTATGGGGGCGCAGAGCTTTTCGGCCAATGGCCGATACAGTGCGAAACGGCCCCATCATTACCGACGCAAATGGCACAATCAAATAAAGGCACTGGCTCGAAACCTTTCGCACGAGTTGCGATCTCGGACCCGCCGTAGGTACTATGGCCCGACAATAGAAGTAGTAAGTGGCTATGTGGTCGCACGAAATCGACTTTGTGGGCAGTAGGTGAACCGGTTGTGCTCGAGAGCGACTACTGACCTGGTAGTGGTGCAAAGACTTCGACGACGAGCTGCATACCAATGTGACTGACAACTGTGGTGGCTCGAGTGAGCTCGATCGATCTTCTGTGGCGTCATGTTCTGATACCGTACATGGCTTCAGTGTACGAATTGACTACGTATGTCGAATGAACCCTCGAGTGTGTATGCAGATTATGTATATTGCTACTTCTCTTGATTTGGTCGTCACGGCGCACTTGACGTGCGTTTTTGTTGCGCGAATTTACTGGAGACAACTTGCTGGAAGTTTGAGACATGCAGTGCCTCAGCAGAGGAAGTGCCAATCAGCTCATGTGCGACTCAGCACGCGGCAAGAGAAGTCCCAGTGGATCCAACAACGTATCCGCAAACCTCAAGAGAGTGTCAGCTATAGAGTCGTGTCCACAACATGTCTACCCGCCTGATGCCCAACAAACGTGCCAAGCGCGGGCCATAATTCGATTCCAATCAGATAGTTTTTCAGCTGGATATTGCGTCACGTACTGATTTGTGCCACACCGGATGGCGAGCGCATGCTACCGTCGAGCGGTACAAATACCGGTACGGCCCGTCCCCCCACGCGAACATTCCGCGCTCGTTCTTCCCGCAGAAAAAGATCGTTCCCCGCCCGCACGCACGCGCAGACGCCTTCCCCCAGTAGCTCTCCCCGTGCCCCACAACCCAAAAGAATCCACTGGCGCCACGTCACGTCACGACGCGACACGACACTCTGCCGCTCTTCTCCTTCTTCTTCTTCTTCCGCCAGTACAGTTCTCACCGTCCCACGGGCCGATTGCTCGCCATGTCCACCAGCCGCTGGCACCTGTGGTCTCTCGCGCTCCTGTGCGCGCTCCCCTTCGCCTCGGCGTCCAACGTCATTGTGCTCGGCACGGCCGACTTTGAAGCCAAAACGCAGGCGGCGTCCGGCGCCACGACTGGGGACTGGCTCGTCGAGTTTTACGCGCCGTGGTGCGGCCACTGCAAGAAACTGGCGCCCATTTACGAGCAAGTGGCCGACGCGCTCAAAGGCCAAGTGAACGTGGCCAAAGTGGACGTGACGGAGAACTCGAAGCTCGGCCAGCGCTTTGGGATCCGCGGCTTCCCAACGATCGTGCACTTCAGCCATGGCAAGGCGTACAAGTTTGGCAGCAAGCGCGCGCTCGACGAGCTCGTTGCGTTCGCCCGCGGCGGGTTCAAGCAAGTGGACGGCCAAGTCGTGAGTCCTGCCCCGGGCGTGCTGGACTTTGCGACGCAGCAGCTGTCGCTCGTCAAGCAGGACTTTGTTGCGCTGCTGGCGACCAAGAAGAATGTGCTGCTGGTCACGTTCTCGAGCGGATTGCTGCTTGGTCTGTTGCTTGGCTGTCTCTGCGGCTGTTGCACGAGCCGCAATGGAAAGGCTGTGAAGGCCAAGAAGGAGTAACGGGCGAATGACGCCGTGGGTCGGACGTTGCGACGCACAGAGTTGAGCCACAACGACAGCGGATGGGACAAAGGCGTTGACGCACTGCACTTTGCCTTCTTCTTTGCATGTGGTAACTGCGCGCGAGCGTGAGCTCGGGCAGCGTGAATACTCTTTTTGTTTGTCTGGGTCTGAATGCTGCGGTCTGTTTGTTGTTCACATTGCTTGGGCGATGCACTGATTGAGCTCGGTGAAGCTGTACTTGAGGTCCAAGCTCTCGAACAGGGACTCTTCCACGCCCTTGTAGTGCACCAGCATCTCGTCCACCTCGACCACCTTTGTCGGGTCGTGTTCCTCGAAAAAGGCCAGCAGTCGTGCACGAAAAGGATTCTCCTGATGACTCATAGGGGGCTCGGGAGAGGACAACGACAATGCCGGTACTTCTTCGTGATGCTGTTGGCGGGAAGCAGACGTTATTGGGCTAGCCGGTCCGGGTGGCGGTGGACGACCGTTCAGGATGGCAATGTCGTTGTCGTTCAATGTGTATGGAACAGGAGAGCCGTCCACTGTATCCGTTGCCTCGTCAGTGCTTGCTTCGTCTTGACTTTGCACGGTAAGATCGAGCATCGCGACTGCCATTGCCATTCCCGAAACTTCACTTGCGCTTCGCTGGTCTTGATCGCCTGATGGTTGCTGTGACTCTTGTTGCTGTCGTCGTGGCTGTAGCTCATCTTGAGCATCGCGAATCTGCTTCTCGTAGCCTTCAGCTTCATTTATCAGCGTCCGAATCTGCGTCAGCAGCAACTCGTTTTGCTTTTTCAAGCGCTTGTTCACCATTCGTGCCTCGCTCGCTTCAGCCATGGCTACAGCAATCTGGCTCTCTGTATGAGTGCGCATGTTACGGATCTCTGTCACCAGCACACGTCTCTGGCCACGAGCTTTGACTAGTTGCTGCGTCAGCTGCAAACGCTCTTGCTCCCATGTTTGCATCTGCTCCTCGTATCGGTGCTTTGTCGCTGCCATTTCCCTTGCAATCGTTTCGAATCGAGTCGAAGTCCCCGTCAAATGATTGTTCAAAGGATAGCCCAACTCGGCGCGGCACCGCAGTATCGTGGCTTCAGCCTGGCCAAGCTCCTTTTCAAGACGACAGCGGATCGCCGTGTCCATTTCCCTGGCGATGTCGGAAGCATCGTTGTCGCTGCCATCGAAGTCGTCTGCCTACATCAGAAAACAGCATGCCAGCCACAGTATCGTCAGCAAAGTATTCGCACCACTGTCGCGCTCACAAATATTGTGCACCATTGCCCAGCGATGTTTTTCTTCGAGCAACGCGTCTCGTTCTGCTTGTATCTCACGCCACGCCTCGCGTTCTCGTTGTATGCGCTGAAGTTCGCCAAGGGTAGTGGCCAATGCATGCTCTTTTGCCTTGACTTCGTTTGCACAATTGTCCTTCTCCACCAGTGCTACGTGTGCCTTTGATCGCTCTTGATCGCGTTCTGCGGTCAGCTTAGCAATAGCGTCTTCATGCATTTCCTGCAAATACGCAACAGAAGAGCACAAAAAACACATGTTATTGCATCGTACGAGTGCCGACATGGTTATCACATAACTAACGCACCATCCGCTCCATGAGCTGCATATTGAGCCCATTCAGCTCTTCCACGAGGCTGCGAGTGTCATTGTCAAGTCCCCTGTTGTGTTGGCCATTCGATGACACGACTACAGCCGTCAGATCCTGCGACCCGAAAAGCCTCGATGCCAAATGCCCAGCTACATTGATCGGTGCGCTCAACAACCAGCTCTGATGAGCAATGGCTCTCGATATATATGCCGAGTACCGTGACAGCTCGTTTGCATCTGGCATCGGCACAGGACTTACAATAATCGCCCTTGACAACGCTACATTCCGTTCGTGATTGCGAGCTTGTTCCACCTGAACGGCTTCATCCAACGCGTCCGCCGCTGCAGTTGCCGATGCCATGACACTGCTCGTCACAACTTGCACCTGGTACAGCACGTTCTTTCTGCACCACGAAACAGCACAACAAGCGTCAGGTTAACCCGGACACACATGATACTGCGAGCTTCCATCTTCACGTCGCTCACGTACCCCCGTAGTCTCGAGTACGAGTTGTCCCACGTCAACGTAATTGTTCCAGTCCGATCGCACTGGAACGATCCTTCGACAGCTCGTCCTACTGTCGTCTCGTATCTCGTTCGAGCATGCACGACTTCAGTAAGTTTCTGCTCGTACGGCTCTGGAGCAAACGAGACGCTAAAGTCCACGTCAAAGTCCTCCAGCTCAAACTTCCACACAACAAACTGCGCCGCGTCTTCCGCCCCTTCAAGCTTCGTCACTTGTACCGCTACGTCATGCTGCGCACTTCTTGGCACAACGAGTCGCTCGAGTGGAAACGCCTGCAGGATAAACCCAATCGCTGTCATGTGCAGTCGAGCGCCTTTGTCCTCGTTGCGCTCGACCACAAAGTCGAGCCAATCGGGATGCAGCAGCAGCATTCCACGTCGATGAGCAGCTAAGAACGATGTCATGTGGGCGCACCATTCAGCGATCGCTGCGTCGTTGCGCGTGCTCTTCAGAGGGAACGCGGGCAGCTCGAGCGAGTCCAGTGGTAGTGCGGCGTGGTCGGGTGTTGTCCATGTGGTCTGAATATGACGCAGCACTTTGTACAGCGTCTGCAGTGGTCGCTTGATGCAGTAGGAAGTAACGCCTCGCGTCACGACCAACTCGACGGTGTAGCCGTCGAGTTCAGACGTCGAGAGCGTGAACAGTGCGATGCTGTGGGTCCCACTGGACGGCTCAGCGTCGACGCTCGTGAGCACAACATCGAGGAACTGATCGGCGTCCGTGTCCGGGAGGTCCTCTTCGCTTGTCGCGGCGGCGGTGGGGCTGTCTCGAGCTGCAGACGGCTCCGTAGCAGAGGCTGAAGTCGCATCTGCAAGAGGACCGTCGTCGGCCATGTCGAGGCGGTCCTGTGGTATCAGATCACACGGCCGGACTCAGAAGAAGTGGTGCTCGCGTCTGATTGGCTAACAAGCTCGAGCAGTGGGGCCACTGCCAGGTGCTCAGTTGATCGAGGAGACGAGCCCTAAAATTGGGACGGGGCGGGAGATGGTCCACCGAGACGACGGTGCAAATTACACCTCACGGCACAAGAAGAAAGAAAGACGACGCAGTTGTCGCGGCTGCGAATGATGACGGAAACAGGACCGACCGAGCGGTCGAGAGGGTGGAAAAAGGGCGGCGTGGGGTTCAACTGCTACCGAGTGTTTGTTTTGCGCGTGGTAACGGGACGTGTGTACCGTAATTGATCGAGGCACTCCCCAAGCGTCACTTTTACTTGGCTGGCAAAGTCGCAACGATGCGGCTCGGTGCAGCTCGTTTTGTTACAACGGGTGCGACGGCTGTCGGTCCTGTAGCTAAACGGCTGAGAAACAACAAGTGACAACTGCCGATGGCTTTGTAATCCAAGCCGCGACCTCGACACGAGGAAACAAATTGCGATGGCAACGCAAACTTGACACACTCTTCTGCATCGCATCACTTTCGCACACGACAACGTGCCCGTCATGTCGCCACGGAAACATACTGAAGGGTGGCACAGCTCGGCATTTGTCACATTGATCTTTCGTGCTAATAAAAGGAGCGCCGAAAGGGGACAAACTGCAGTCTCGTGGCAAAAACGACTTGACACCCATCCTTCGGAATATCCTGCACTTGGACGACGCAGTCGCGTTTTGAGCCTTTTGTCACGAGGAAATAGGCCAAGGCAAACGATAACGCAGGCAATAAAGTGACGGCCAACGAGACAAAGACCCAAAATTCATCCGCGACGGTCGTTTCCCTAACGACGAATCGCCACATTCCTTCGGTCTGTCCATCTATCTGTCCATCTATCTATCCTATTTACCTGTCCATCTACCTATCTATATCTGTGTGCTGTTCTCTTTTCTCGTCGTGACGCGCGAGAAAATCCCTACCGCCCGATCGCGAAAACATCGAGAGTTTTCGAGACAAAAGAGAGAGAGAGAGACACACACGCACACAGACACAGACACGGCCGCGCACTTCTGACTTTTTTCGAAAGTATAAGAAGAGAGAAGCAGGAGGACCCATGGGGCGATATCAAAACAAAGAGTCGCCCACGCGCCCGACCCAGTGAGTGCGTCTCGTGCTCAAAAGACTTTTACGGCCGCGAGATGCAGTCGGAAGAGAGCGTGACGACGTCGGACAACGTGCCTGGCGAGCGCACAGCTCCCGCCGCAGCCGTTGCAGCAGCAGCGACTGCCGGAGTCGCAGTGCCGTCGGACGTAGCGGTGGCGTGTGGGGCCGCGACGGACGCCACGGGCGTTGCGTGCCGCCTCCACGACGTGACCCCCTCGTCTATACGTATACAAGACCCGCCAGCGCTCCGGAGCGCCGATCGGGGCGACAAGTTGCCGTCCGACGTGACGCACGCGCAGAACGAGCAGCGGCGGGAGCGGCACTGGCGCCGTCTCGTGCACAGCGAGTTGCGGGACCGATTCATTGCGGCCATGTACGTTGTTTTGCTCTGCGAGCCTGAGAGCAGGATGGAGGTTGTATACGTCAGGAGAGACGGGTCGGGTGGCCAGTGGATTTACGACGACTGTGGGTGTGTGTCCTGTGCTATTGTATTGTTGTTGTGGTGGTTGTTGTTGGCATATTGTTGTTGTGGTTGTTGTGGTTGTGGGTCTTGTAGGATGGAGCAGCTGCAGCGCATCACGGGGGACTGTGACGTGCGACACGTGCGGCGATGTGCGTCTCGGTACGAGTCGTTTGTGTGGAAGAAGAGCCGGAACCAAGTGCAGTACATGCAGAAGCTCGAGCAGCGCATCGAGTCGCTCCGTCGTCAGCCTGTGGCTGATGCGAATGAAGGCGGTGACGTCACGGCGCGGCTTGATGAAGACGAGCGACGGCAGGTCGTTCAGGCTGCGGCCGTTGGGTCGGCGCCTGGACCGTCGTCGATCATGCCGTGTCCATATCGCTGCCACGACGTGCAGCAAGACGGTGCAAGGGCTGGTCCGCTGGCGGGGACAGCAGAACGACGACACGCGAGTTGCTCGAGCGATTACCGAGCGAATAGCTCGGTGAGTGGCAGCAACAACAAGCGCGCTGCAAGACGGAAGGGACGCACGCCATCGGCCCATGGAGCACCCAGCACGTCTCTGGCAAGACGTGACGAGCTGTACTTTGCCAAGCTGCGCGTGATGAAGAGTCGGTACCGCGACGAAGTTGCACTGGTATTCCGCGAGCTCTGTCGCGTGAACACAGTGATCCGAACTTCCGCGAGTTTGCGACGTCACGAGTCGAACAATTTGGGCGACTTCCTGGCCAACCTCAAGAAGATTATTTATTTGCTCGAGCAGCAGCCGGACGAGGCGTGCGGTATGATTCCCGCTCGCAAACGAGCGGTCGAGTACCTTGACGTGGTGGAATCGCACATCCAGCGAAAAGTGCTGCCGATCCTCCACCGCCTGCGTCACACGTACTCGACTATATTGCGCCCCATTGTGCTCAACTACATGAAGAATAACTATCGCTTCAATCGACGGTTTTAGGCTTGGCAAGAAGACGAGGACGAAGAAAGAAGAACAAGACGAAGAAGAAGAAGAAGGAGAGAGAAGGAGATGGAGGAAGAGAAGGAGAGGGAGGAAGAAAGAGGAACGTGGTGATGGCGCGACGTGGAATAGAGCAAAAACTTGCACCAACTGACCGCTGATGCTTTGCATTCTCTTGCGGCGCTCGTGTTTATGCACAGCCTGACAACCAACGACAGCGTGTGGGGTTTCTCTCTCTCTTCACTTTTGTATGCCCCCCACCCCCACACGTCGTTTGCTACGGTCGCAACTACTGAATCGAACGAGAGAGGCGTTGATTGGACAAAACGCGCTCCGATGGATGTAGCCACTTTCCAGGCCCGACGAACCGCCCGACTTGTTCGCCCACGTACGTGACGTGCGCAACCTGTCCACATGGCGACGACGACGACGACGACGGCAGCGCTGCGCGCGCTGGACAGGCAGATCGCCGACCTCATGCAGCAGAAGGCCGAGCTGCAGCAGCGGCTCGAGCGCGAGACGCTGGGCGCGCGTCCTGCGCCAATGAGCGCCGACGTCGTGGCCAGTAATCCATACAGCCGCTTGATGGCGCTCAAGCGCATGGGAATCGTCTCGAACTACGAAGCTATTCGCCAGCTGTCTATTGTGATTGTCGGACTCGGGGGCATTGGATCGGTGGCAGCTGAGATGCTGACGCGGTGCGGCATTGGCAAGTTGGTCCTCTACGACTACGATACGGTCGAGCTGGCGAACATGAACCGCCTGTTCTTCCGGCCCGAGCAAGTTGGCATGACCAAGACTGCTGCGGCCAAGCAGACGCTGCATAGTACGTGGGATGTGTCGATTCGTGGGACGTGCTATGGTGGGCCGCAAGGAGCACCCACCTACGTGTCAGGATGCAGGATGAAGGAGGTCGTTCTTGACTAAGTTTTGACGAGCTGGTGGTGTGTTGCAGGTATCAACCCCGACGTGGTCTTTGAAGAGTATACGATGGACATTACCACAACGACGAACTTTGAGCAGCTGTTGGATCGGATTGCGCATGGCGGCGTCGAGGATGATTGCAAGGTGGACTTGGTCTTGAGCTGCGTGGACAACTACGCAGCTCGCACTGCGCTGAATCAAGCGTGCAACGAGCTGAACCACGTGTGGATGGAGTCGGGCGTGTCGGAAGACGCCGTGTCTGGACACATTCAGTTTTTGCTACCAGGACGCACAGCGTGTTTCGAGTGCTTGCCGCCCCTCATTGTAGCGAGTGGCATTGACGAGTCGACGCTCAAGCGGGAAGGCGTTTGTGCCGCCTCGCTACCGACAACCATGGGACTTGTGGCCGCTATGCTCGTGCAGAATGCACTCAAGTACCTCCTCGGGTTCGGCCAAGTGTCGTATTACTTGGGCTATAGCGCGCTGACAGACTTTTTCCCGTCTGACGTGATGCGGCCGAACCCCGAGTGCTCGAACGCACAGTGTCGCAAACAGCAAGCGGTAGCTGAGCATATTGGCTGGACGCCAATGGTCTGGAAAGCGGGTCGTCATGACGGTCATGAGAATATTGTTGTGGAGCACGACGACAATGAGTGGGGAATTGAGCTCGGTGCCGACGACGATAGCACCACTTTGGAGAGCATAGAGACTCCTGCTGAGGCAACAGCGAAGCTGGCCCCAGGTCTGTCGTTTGCGTACGATCGGTCTGCTGGGGCACCGACTGCTGCTGCTGAAGACCAGACGGATTCAGTTGCAAAGGAGGACGTTAGCCTCGAGGACCTCATGGGGCAACTGAAATCGCTATAGCCATACTTGGCAGCTCGGCATGATGGAGACCTGCTACGATGTGGAGATTGATAGATACAGTCTGCGCGTTGTGGAATGCACTATTTGCGCTATGTGTTACCCATCTCGGTCGCTCACGGCAACAACGCTGTTGTCTTATCCGGAACCCGTTGGCGTGACGAGTTACACTATGTGCGCAATGTTTTCTTGTGTTTCAAGATGTCTCTTTGCCTTGTCAGTGATGACAACTACAAGCGCTGCAAGTTCAGATAGGAGCAAGTGCCTATTGAATGGCTCGTAGGACTCTCTGATCAATTGTAGGTCGGATTGGATTGTCTCCATCTCTAGTGGCATGAGGTATACGAAGTGCGTTTCCCTTACGACTGTGTCTAACTTGCACATCTCGATAAGACGAGTAGCTCTGGTCGACGCTGGCATGGTGACAGCAAGTGTCTACTACGGATGGCTAGAGACCAATGGATTGTGCTGTGCCAACCGTTGTGAATACCGTTCGTTCTTGACCCCGAGAAGTAGCATCTATCCTATGCAGGCAGCAAGTACATGCCATCAGTTAACAATAGCGGCGATGTGCCCTGAGACAGAGACGCGCTGCAATGAAACGCCACGACGTCTTGCTACAATTGAAACTAGCGCATTAAGTGTATGACTGAGCCTCAAGCGCCTGACGTAGCAGCAGGTTTCAACAACATACATGCATCAACAGTACGCAGCGTCAAGACCAATGTGTTGTATTGATGGCTTTTACCCACTGCACTTCGCTTACTGACCACCTCGTCTGTCTACTGCTACTTGCCTCCTGCCGGCCACGGCAACCTCACTAGTCCATCGCGGTCACGAACTCGATCAGTGTATGCTCCTACACCTCTTTCGTCTTCCTCAGCCTGACGCCCTTTCCTTCAGTAGCAGCTACATACTGCAAGGTGAAGGCTTTCAGGTGCTCGTACACATGCGTGCGCTGTGGGGTTCCCTTAGCTGTATAGCTATAGTCTTTGATGAATGTCGCGGGTTTCACGCCCTCTGCGATGAGAAGATGGAACAGCTCTTTCCGCATCAATTGAGCGAGCTCCCCATGGCCCTCATCAATCAAAGCTTGGAAGAAGTAGCCATGGGTCACGTGGGTCTCCTTCTCGTAAGCTTTCATCACAGGCTGTACCAAGTCTTTGACGGAAACGCTTTTGACATCCTTCAACCGCCTGTACTGCAGGGTGTATCGATACCACAGGTCCAGTCCTCTCACCCACTGGCGAGTAATGCCGAGCACCTCAGTGGGTGGCACCTTCCGTTCCAGCCACACTCTGACGGCTGTATCATGCAGTTTCTCCATCTTCCAAGCGGTCATTTTCAAGAAACGGTCGGCGCGAACGTCCATACCATCGACGCCTCGAAGCCAGCGAAAGAACCTCTTCAGGCTCTCCTTTTCGTGCCTGTGCAACAACAGAATGAAAGCCGTCTCATCCATCGAGGCGTCGCGTACCTTTTCATTGCCAATCTTCAGTAACACCTTCTTGAAGTCGCTCGGCTTCAGGTTCGTCTGTGGCTCGGGCAATCGAGGGGTGCGAACTAGTGAGCCCCGAACCTTCACCGCCAATCCTTTCACCGCTGCCGGAAGCAACTCCAGTACCGCACTCCTCTCCTCGTTATTCTGCTCGGCAAGCTTGTGGTTGTTCTCAGTGAGATCGTAGAGCCCTGGCCCGTTTTTTGGTGCAGTGACCGTAGTTGAGCTGAAGTTGAGAGCAGCGACATCGAGCGACATGCCGTCTACGGAAACGAAGACCAAGAACACGAGGTGGCGTGCACGCATCTTGATGGCGTTGGTTGCTTGCTAGAAAATTGCACACTGAGAAACGCTTCTCGTGACCGATGCTATCGGTTCGCAAGTGCTGATCGTGCGTACGATCCCGAGGGGAACAACTCTGAACCCGAGATAGGTACAATAACGGGCGACGGAAAGCGGGTTGCGTCTGAGAAATGGTCAGCCTTTCCTTTCGTGAGATCGCTTCTTACATGCCGCACACTAGCGGAAAAATGACACATCGATACGCACACACCGATACATGAAGGTTGACCACGTGCTGTAGTAATATGCATGCACATGAAACATAGAGAGATACAACGCGGTAAGTCGGTTGGTGGAATCACTGTTACTACACTTTGATGGTTGCACCGCTCGCGGTATTTTCTTTCGAACGCTTTCGAACGGTGTTGAAGACGGCGGGCGAAGCGGGAACGAGACAACAACTGGGAAAGCAAACGCAGATGGTGACGAGCACAATGCGACGTAGACAAAGCCGACCAGTTAACAGCTACTTGTGCATTTCTGCGCACGTCTAGATGGATTACGTGGTATAGACGGGGCGGATACACGAGACACAGAAGAGGGTACAATGTCTATGGCGAGGAATGCGAGGCGACCTAGAAGAGCCGACCAGTCCTTTGCTTGCGGCAGAAATATTTGCCTCTTCCGTTGCGCAAGTTTTTGCAGGAATCGGTCCAGCAATACGGGCTTGTTTTGGGATGTTTACGTCAATGTGTTGTAAGGATCCCGCTGTGCTATAGTTGACGTTCGACGAGAAGCGGGAGGCATTGTTGATGCCCAAGAACTGTCTCACACCCATCTGCGATGCGACAACACACTTGGATGACTCTGTCCGGTTCTTTGTAGCTGTAGTCATGCGACAACTAATTTCGATGGCCCTGTCGGACTCTTTGTAGATGTAAAAAAAAGCCCACATAAAATCCCGAACCGCGTGTTGCATCTGTGCGCATCGCGTCGCTTCGTTTGTTCCCAATTGCCTCGCTGAATCCCTCGTCTTTTGTGCTGGTTTTGATTATTTCGTCACATTGTAGATGCATTGTCGACGGGTGTACATGCTGCAAGTTTGCCCGTCGATTGTACATTTGTCGTACGACGGCAACACGCACATGAGTGCAAAGGCCGAAACCGGTCAAATCGGTGGAGTTGATACCGAGAAAGATAGGGTATGAGCTGTACCTATCCTGTCTGTCGATTCTGCGCTGGGCCCTCGTCAAGTATTTCAAGAAGAAGCTGATGCACATGGCCATATATGACTATCCTGGACTCGCCATCCATTCGGAGGCGGGCGGTAACAGCCGGATCCGGATGGTAATTTCACTCACGGCCTAACTTCGGTCGAAGGATGTCAAAGACTAGACGGCTTGAGAGAACTAAATACACGCTTACCCAACACCGTATGTACGTGTGACGGCGCATCGAACGCTTGTACTAAGACAGTACAAGCTACCTACCTACACTGGCCACAGTGCGTACGCTGTGGGAAGTAAATACGTAACGTAGCAAAGAAAAGGCAGTTGAGCAGTTGACTGTAGCATGAAAGTACTTATAGTTATGCCCTTCATTCGCAATCTCTCTGATGCTACTTCTGAACAAGTTGACTGTAACCTGCAGAGTACTTATATTTCGGTCATTCATTCGCACTTTCTCTGATGCTTCGAAACAGGTTCTTGACTCGACAACCTGTCGAGCAATACAAACTGTCCACCTACGCATTAGGAGTCTCCACGTCGCACATTATTCATTGCTACGCCGCACATTTGTGACGGGGTGAGCCCGTTGCATGTCATTGACACCAGATCGGGTCAATGTGAATCGTATCATGATTGACAATTTTCACCACCAATATTTTCGCTACAAAGTCTATGTATGGAGGAATATCACCTTGAAAGGATATGGTCAGCACCGCTCCACTTATTGTTGAATACAGACCATTAAATCAACCAACTAAGCCGCCAATCGCTGCTAGATACGCGCAATGAGTGGTTAGCAAATAGCTATATGTGACGTTTGTAGGTTAATACGGTTGAAGTAAAATGAAAGGGGTTTTATTATGACACTTACCGACACCAAGCACTGCTCTACTTCTTACTTTTTCTTAACGAACACATTTAGAAGATTGAGACTTCCACTGCACTTACAGCGTACGTGAGGTTGCAAGCAACTGCCTACACTGTGTTTGTATAGGTAGAGTTTACTGTGTCAGTACAAGCGGAGAACGACGCGTTTCAATATTCGCAATCGTCACATCGGTCACATCGGACGTTAGAAAACTTTCCGGTCATTGTTAGCTGGTCAAGACGCTTCGTTGGCAATACTTCCTCTCGTCTTGGCAGCACTTGGTGCCCTAAAATCTAGCACGTCACGATGATGTTCAAACTTCACGGCAGTGCCAGTCTTGGTTATCATATTTGCCTCCATGTCCTTGGTCGAGCAGTATACCAGTATCGCTTTCCCGTCAGCAACCCTATCACGCACAAAGTGGCAGCGAATGTTGATGTGATATGCTTCGTATGCTGGTGCTATTTGGGTTTCTCAGCCAGCGCAATAAACCCTTGATTAATCTCTTAGATCTCGACTTCTTGGTCGCTTGTCATCTGACCAAGCTCGCACAGGAACGCCTTGGCTTGTACAGCTTCTTGTGTCGGATCCGATAGTGTCATGTACTCTGCCTTTGTGGATGATAGCGTCACCTTCCATTATTTCGTGCATCTCTAACTGTTACGTTCGAAGTTCGCCGTTCATCATTGAAGCGTATCCGCTTGTGCTTTGCCTGAATTCAGTGTCACCAACGTAGTCTGCGTCCGAAAAACGTGGATGCTGGAATCGCCACTTGCTTGGAACTCGATGCTGTGTGTCTTTGTGCCTTGAATACACTGAAAGACCTTCTTGAGTGCATGCCGGTGTGTTGGACATGGGTCGTATCAAAAGGATGAGCACTTCGACTGCAGCTGAGAGGTCAGTGTTGGTACCCTCAATGAGACACATGATTTATCCTCTCCGCTCCGGTAGGGCATGTTCACGATCGTCTCTTCATGCTTTAGTCACACATGATCTTAGTCAGCTTGAGCCATGGGGCTTTGGCGACTTGACTATGAAACTATTTAACATGCCGAAAACCTCTCGATTTTCTTCGATGAAATTAGTCTGCCGCATCGACACTCAGGCACATGCGTCTTCCTTGTATATCTACATCCCAAGAATGTATCTGGGTTGGCCAATCTCCGGCATCTCGAATCGTTCACATAATGCGCACTTGACCTCAGTGAGCACCTTTTTACTGCTACTGGCAATGATCAGATCATGGACGTAGAGTGCAACACAGATCATGCACTGATGACTGCGTTTGAGGTCGATACAGTGGCAGAAATCGGACTCTTTCAACCCAATATGAGCATGAGCTCGTCCATAGTCTTGTTCCCTATCCGCGTCGATTGCTTGAGTCCGTACAACGTACCAGCACGAAAATGCCTTGGCCGCGAGACTTACCTGACCCGCTCAATATCCTCGTCTTGATATTCATTGACAAGAATTATACGTCTGCAGCCAAACGCCTTCCGACCCCGTGAACAATAATACTAGCTGATATGTCGTGTTCGTACTGGGAGCGTCGATCTTTTTTAGTCGCACGCTTCTTTCCACTTTCCAGCCTTCTGGAATACATCGCCGCGTTGACCGTTGTCGCCATTTCTCACACGAGATCAACGACGAAGGCTGTCCTGAATTCGTCTTCTGTTTCCGCGAATGCTGACAAGTCTCTTAGCTATATTCGCCAGCCTTTCTGCCGCTCAAGAATCGGAATCCTCACCACACAGTCCAGAGACAAATTTAGTAGGTGTCGCTTACCTTAGAGCTCCATCCATATGCATCAGTTTCGTGTATTGTTCTCTTCTTCTTCACCCTTTCGTCCGAATGGCACTTCTTGGTTCGCGGTTATCTCCATAGTCTTCCACAATCGTTGCCTTTCCTTTTCTTTGACATGTTCGATTGCATATATATGTTACATTTACCCTGCGTTGCATCTCACCAGTACGATACCACTCTATATCTACAGGAGCAGATACGCTTTCTCGTGCTCAAAGTGGCCAACGAAAAGGCAATGCATTGCCTGCACATCGAACTTTTGCGCCCCTGCTTCGGGAACGTCGCATATGCGTGGCAATCAAAAACCTTGTGAATTGAATTCAGTGGTTTCTTGCCCGTCCAGACGTGACATGAAAGCTAATCTTAGCTTGTGGACAGCGGCTGTAGAGAAACGTGGCCGTCAGAACAGCTTCGCCTCAATACACCTTGGGAACACACGGCAATGTCTTAGCATGCGGCAAGCGCAATTTCACCAGAGTTATATCCATCTGCTTCGTCAATCCTCATTGAGCTGAGATGCTTAAGAAGGCGTGAATTTTTGCGAGATTTCATGATCTTTTGCGAGATTTCATGATTAAGCGGGCATACGTGCGGAGGCGTGAATTTTTGCAAAATGCCATGCTCGCAGTACAGCTCGAACACATCGCGCATCTTGTACTCCTCGCCGTTGCCACTACGAACTAGCTCGACGCGGTTTCCGGGTTGGGTATTAGCAAACGCAACGAAGTCGTCGACTTTGGCTGCCACTTCAGGTCTTTTTTCAGCAAATACCACACACAAATTTGAAAATTTGTTAACGTACGAGACAGAATGTATGCCTCCGTCGATCTTGGGTGTCTACATAGGACCACAGGCGTCACTGTGTATGACCTCTAGCAACTTCTACGCACGCAGTGGATACTTTGGGATCAATATCAATCGCCTCTGCTTACCGAGCGCACTACCTTCACACGCTCCACTGCTTCGCTGACGTCATGTTGATGCCATTTCCATTCCTTTCTCGACAACAGCATCGAGAGCGCCAAGGCCAATTCGATTAAGTCGAAGTTGCCAGAAGTACATCGTTCTTTCCCTTTTGCAGCTCGTCGAGAGTGCCCATATGTCTATTCTAACGGAGCGAGGTC